TTGCAACGCTCCACTATATCTCGCGAAGGGTCGCCCGTACGGGCATGGTTCCTTTGACTTTTTTGTTCCTATCGATATGCTCTACTGCTCTGTCAAAGTCCCAATTTGCTACATTTGTCCTAGAATTGTGCCCCTAATTTTACGTAGATATAAAATATATATACTGTATATATATATAACCAATTCTTCTTTACTTAATATCAAATCAATGCACTAATGAAAGTTCGTAGAACTTACTGTGCTTTTTCTGTGTAACATTTCTTTCACCATAGCGTCGACCAAACGCTCCCTCTCTTCGTGATATCTTCGCTGCTGTTCTAATAAAGTCTCCATGTTTATCACTCAAAACATCGATAAACAAAATGGTTACCGTGAAATCGGTGTTGCCAACTACCTTTATTTATTCGTTGTTGCCAACTATCCTTATTAATTAAATATGGTCGACTTGATGACCAGATATCTGAAATGCTTTTTTATTTTATTTTAATTTTGACTCTGTTTATAAATTACTTCCTCGTTTTGTTATTTTTGTTTTGACATTTTTACTCTCCCTACCCTCATTGTCCCAGTTTGTCCAAGTTTCCGTAACTCCTTCCCCTCTTTAGACGTCAAACGAAACTCAACCCTTCCTCAAAACCTTTATCACTTTATGAATAATAAAATGCATAAACTGCAGAAAATTTGATGAAATAAAACGGACGTCCATTGAAGTTTAAAGAAACGCAATGACCAATTTATTAGGAAAATTTTTCGCAGTCAATGTTTTCACGGTTGAGGTTATCGGCAAATCTGTAGAGATGCCCATTTGCTCTATTTTTCATGTACTGTCTAAACATATCCATGCACGAAACTGGCTGGTGTCGTAGAAAATAAACGAAAACATCGACGCGCGGCAGTTGTAAACAGAAAGTAGCGCGAAAACCTGTGAGTCTGATACTTACCCACTGCTCTTGAAAGCAGACATCAGAAAGCAGTAGACGTTGACTTTTCGAACAAGTCCGGATCCGTACGTTGTCGACAATATTCTCATTCCAAATACACTTTCATTTATCTTCCCTCGTTAACATTTGTCAGATTTCACTGCCGTCACGACAATGGTGCCGAACGTTTTCTCGAACGCAACCACAATTCGAAAATTTCCAAGTTTCACACCAAGACCGCATTGAACTGAAAACTGAAAACACAAAGATAATCGATTGCAGCCGTGAAAACGTTACTTGGCAGCAGATGATGAAAGAATGCAAACGAGCTGCAAAAGCGTTATGAACGTCGGGGGCGTAGTTCAAATGCTAACGCGTTCGCTTTGCATGTGAGAGGTACCGAGATCGATACTCGGCGTAGTCATCGTATTGTAAATTTTCCTCCGCCTTCGTTATACCTGGAAACGTGGTACTCACGTATATCTTTGCTACCGACTTTATATTTACGGTGTAGCCTACTTGCAGCCTGCTTCCGAAACGATATGAATTTCGGACACACATTTTGGCGAACCGAAAAGTTGCGAAAGGGAATTTTTTTGAGCCAGATATATGACAGAGTAAATTTTTGTTTAAATTCCAGAGAATTATTTGATAACTTTAGCAAAAATCTGAAAAGTACTTCGAGAATTCGATCACATCGTTTATTCAAATGATGTGATCGAATTCAAACCGGATATAATGAGAATGGGCGGACGATTTTAGAAATCAGATTTAAAACCTGTATCGATCTCGGTACCTCTCACATAGTAAGCAAGCGCTCTACCATCTGAACTACATCCCCGACAACTAAGTGGCTGAAATATCCTATAAACAGTTTAGCCTACTCTATTGGGCGTTTGCAACGCAGAAATGAATGTAGAAAATTACTGGTACTAAAAGTAGGCTAAGCGCATTTTGCAATCAATTGAATGCGTCAACGAGAAACGTTTTGTTAACCGTTCTAGCGTTCTTCCTGAACACTTTCACTGCAGTTTACGACGACACGTCGGATGTTTATAAAATTCGCAAGAGTCAATTTGCAAATAATAAGCACCGTAGATAGCCGTGTACGGTGCTTATTATTTGCAAATTGACTCTTGTACGAATAATTAATTGTAATAGAATGAAGCGCAGACCGATACATACATACCGGTCGCGGTACTCGTCGTTAGCGTCATTTACAAGTGTGGAACGGAAAAACGAATTACTTTTTGAGGAGCCAAAAATTTATTCCTTGCAGACGTTTGTAAAAATAACAGCAGCAAATGGAGATGCCGAGCATCGATCTCGGTACCTCTCGCATGCGAAGCGAGCGCTCTACCGATTGAGCTACATCCCCGCTATCCTAGCCACGTGAAATTTCTTCCATATTCGAATTCACCGAGGCACTAACATTTAAAATAAACGAATACTTTTAAAACGAGAATCGAAAATTGTCGGCGCAATAAAATTCGGCGTCTACAGTTGAATCAAAATTACTTTTGATAGTTTATGCTTCAATTTATCGTAACATTTTAGTTAAAGTTAATATATTTAACAAAAAGCGGCTCGGAAAACGAACAATAGGCGAAAGAATTTTTAAATTATTTTAAAATCCTATAACTGTTTAAGGTTTGTATGTTTATTTCAAAAATATATACTTTAAAATTGGAAATTATACATGATGCACGATTATTTTTTATAAAATTTATAGAAACATTTTTAATTAGAATATTTTATACAATTTATATAAAAAGTTTCACAATTTAAATGGACCTATACTTGACCAAGTCCAAATATTAGGCCTAATAAGCAGCCATACTGTGCGATATCGGTACTTTTTTCCGATAACGATGTGATCATATTCGTTATCTGCAACCTTTTCGGTAAGTTTTACTTTTCGCCGCAAAAAGGAAGGTTATTCCTTATAAAATATCTAACGTTATAAACACCAAGGGCGTAGATATTTGTTTTTTTTTAAATTTTAAACAACCATGTTAATTCAATATACGTATATAAGATAAATGGGCTGATACTTGACCGGGATCATTCTCCTAACTACGTGTAGATTCTGCCGCTAATAAAAACTCAGTTTTATCGGAAACTACCAGGCGATCGCTAAGTGGGGAGATTTCAACACTTTGTACCAGTATTTCATAAATGCACTTTTTGGAACTGCACGATTTCGACAAATCAGCTGGAAAGACATCTTTAAATCTCAGTAATATTTAACGAAGTGATTTCCGTCTGAACACATGTTGTAAAACTGCTTGCATATCAACTTTGTCATTCGCGTGTGGCGAACGCTACCATCTTAACCGTTGTGAAAACAAATAACGAACCCCGGGTGTTATGTGTCATCACTTCCTAGAACGAGTCCGAACTCACCCAGTGAGACGGTTGATAGCTGCTCTTTGTTAGCCGCGACGTCGAGACATGTACCAATATACGCGAGGAAGACAATAAATTCAGTTCTACTACAACCTCGTCTCATTTATTTTATCACGCGCAATGACGAAACAAACCGAACTGGATCTGATAATGTAAAAATTCCTTGCGTTCGAAACTGTGACTATTGTAAATCTTACAAAGGCAGGTGTTTCGCAAAAATTTTTTCGCCTATTGTTTGTTTGCCGAGCCGCTTTTTATTTCTATATTACTTACACATTGAAATATTATGTCAATTAAACACTGTTTTACTTCGGCTAAATTTTAACGCCTACATATAATTTTTTATTTTGTGAAGTTTACTGTTATATTACATTGTCCAAATATCGAGCTGTTTTGTATTACGCTTAGCAAAGATTTCATTTTGTGGTTTGTTTATTTATCGAGGTATTACATAACCGCAAAATGAAATCTTTGCTAAGTATAGTACAAAAACCGCTTGATATAAGTTTAATTAACCCTGGAATAGTTATTTTGCATTAGGCAAAGTTGGGGAAGTGAGAGATCTTGCTCATTAGTGTGATGTTTATGGCGATAGTGTATACACGTTCGTCAAAAAACTGCCAGTTGAAATTTCTTCGTGTAAAGAACTGTAACTACAATACTGTGTAGTGTGTTTAGTCTCTATCTGTTTAATTAATTAATAATTGGATTATCCGTGCTTTCCGATATTCCGTTCATACTCGCACACTAACTAGTACGGATAATCGGGAGTTCGGTGTATATATTATTTTATCACACTACACCTTTATTTTGCTGAGATAGTTTTATTGTGGAACGCCAATGTTCCTTTTTCTATCGTTAAGCCTGAGGATGGCCTATAGAGTAGACTGCAGACATTCGTTTTTTAAGCTACTTTTGTGAATTAATAATTTTATTTTTTATTTTGAAATTACTGTCATATTATACAGTATTTAAATATTCTGTTAGTTTTTTTTATTTTTGTACAATAGCAAATAGTTGTTAGTTGTGTAGTTCTGAGGGATCACCAAGGCGATCCAGAACGTGATGTGGGTAAGAATAAATGAGGACTTTACAACGAAATTTATAGAAAAAAAAACTTTATATATATCGAATTCCTTTTCGCATTGATACAATAAGTACTATAGAACATGAGCTATCTGCTTGTAACAATCTCACACGACTTACGTCTCCTTAATATTACAATCACTTTCGAAGTTCGCGAGCACCGATATCAAATCGCTCACAATGAATGTTACAGATGAATTACATAGCAGATCCGCCACCACGATATTTCATATAGGGCAGTCTCCCTTGTGAGTCGATGTCCGATTGGAGCTGCGACCACGTGGAAACGAAAAATCCTCCTTGGACCAAAATAATGGGCCACGAAAAACAGGTTGATGATGTTCTTTTACCCAACCTTAAGCCGGTTGCACACATGCGGCGCGGCATGGAAAAGCGGCATCCGCTTACATTTCGGCGCATGCGTTCAGTATTCAAGATGGCAAACGATACCGATATTGTCGCTATCCACGTGTTTACAAATTTTGTTTTGTACGGCTTGCTTTATTTAGTTAAAAGATGGCCCAGTTTCGCACCTGCGAGCTAGAGGGGGTTAATGAGATATCTAATCTAACAAAAGCAATTAACATTAAATCTTAATTTGCATTTAAAAGTGGTACGATAAGAAACCTGCCAAACGCCCTACTATTTCTAAGTTAAAATAATTCAAACTAAATGTGGACAATTATACATACATATTTGATTTAAATAAAATAACCCAGTGGTATAGTACATGTAATTTTGCTTATGAATATATATATATTTTATTTTATCACTATGTACAGTATATGTTTATTTATTATAACAATGAAAAACTATAATTTAAGAGGTTTTAATTTTGACATGCACAGTACACTTATTGTTTTTAGGGCTTCTTTCAAAAATAATTTATTTAATAATTTTCAAAAATTTTCACGGCATACTGGTTGAAAATTACTGCTCTACAGGATCTTTCATGGCCACAACACATCTGTTTTTAGGTTGTGTTGTGGCCATGAAAGATTTTGGTCACGTTTTTCTGCCAGCAGCACAAGAAAAATTAATTAATGGCCCAAATGTAATTAATTAAGTTGTCATAGAGCATCTATTGATAATTTTCAGAGTTCATTTTACCACTAATAAAAACAATGTCTGTCTTACCATCATATCTAAAACCTGCCCACACCATTACTGACCCTCCTCCATGCTATCTATTCATTTTCACTTTTTCATTCTTTCTTAAATCATGCCAGTAACTTTAAAAGCCATCTGATCTATCTAAATTCCATTTTCTTTTTCATCTGTAAACACTATTTGATGTAACTCTGAGATCCAGAACATTTTTATTTTGCCCAATCAAGTCTAGCTAATTAGTACTTGGTCAATTTTAATTTGTTTGGTCAATTTTACAGTTAGAATTATTACTTAAAAACATAAAATTATTTATCTATCTTTTAAAGTTTTCAATACTATCTTTAATAATTCAATACAATTAATTTATAAGAAGAAAATTTTTATATAAAGGCCTGCTGGCCTGGCCAAATCCTTCATGGGTTAGGTTACTAAAAAGGGCCCTCTTAGTGTCTATAAGACAAAGAGTATTAAAAACAATGTGTGAATAAATCGTCGTAGAGTACAAAACGTACATGGATGAATGGCGATAAATTCTAACTAAAAATTCAGTATTATTTTATCTAGCTTTTAAAAAATTATTACTAAAAGAGACAGGCTTATAGTTTCAAGATATTTTTTATATTTATTTTCATTAATTTTTCTCATTAACTTTAAGAGACGAACAATTTAAATGGTGTCGTTTGATTTCACGTTTTCAACACTTTGCAAATATTCGTCTACAGGCATCTGCGTTATTTGTATATAATTTCCGATATAATATAATTTCCTTCAACAGGCTTTTCGATATAATTTCCTTCAACAGGCTTTTCGTGACTTTCGTCCCACTCTTTCATATTTTCAATACTGAAATAATTGTCACTCACCGAAGGAACTGAGGCGGAGACAATATTAGGAGTAGAAATTATAGCCATATTCTTACGATAATAGTTTATATCTTGATTTAACTTGTCCAGAATTATATTTATTTCATTTATAGCCGATTCTATTGCTTTGCATTGTTCCACGGATTTATTCATCATCAAGTTTACATCAGCGGATAACATGCCGATTTTAGAATGCAATATGTGGAAATGCCTGTCGGTACTTTTAATTACTTTATCCAAATCGGCACAATATTTGGCTAATGAAATATTTACTCCATCTTCCAAATGGCTATTTAATTCCGAGTTAATTATAACGATTTCTTCTGTCATAGTTTTTATTTCTTTTAATGAATTGCGATCTATAAAGTGGTCGACGTGATTTCTTCTTAGATGGACGTATAAACCGATCGCAACACCGAGAAATAATAATAGTAGAGGAAAGTCCGAATTTCCAAAAGCAAAATCCATGAGGCCGAACAAAGTATCGATTATAGTATTTACCATAATGTAGACAATGTATTTGATGGTGTCTCTTGAGAATTCGCAATGGCATCCGTTCTCTTCGTCTTCCGAAAAATATGAAATAGCGACCATAAAAAAAATCGTATACAAGATAATTTTAAAAGGAATCTTCATGTTTAACATTTTAAAACGAATCGTTAGATGAAAAAGAATTTTTTTTTTAAATGTTCTATAACATTCCAATACGTCAATCATTTTCAAATAATATTTTGAAAAAACTATTTTACCATGGAAAATTGATAAAATAAATGTACAACATTTAGAAGATCTGAATACTTTGTACATTATACAATTCTTAATGCTATATAGGGCTTGTTTTAGTTAAGTCTATATAATATCAAACGATCATCTGGGTTCTTTATTGGGCTATTAATCACCGATAAAATATTTCATTTATATATAGTCAATTTCCTTTTATATTTTAATAAATTAAACTGTTATTTTGAATCTCTTTTCTTAAATATAGAAATTGTTTTGATAAAGATTTAACACTCAAAGATAAGTCAAAATAAGCACATTTTCATTGAAATGTCTTCAGTATTCTCACATTTAATTGCTTTTCTTTCGGATAAAACAGATGCAATTACATATAAATTCATATTGCATCTAATAAAAATTTAGTAACTTCGAAGAAAATTAAGTTCAGCGCAATTAATTAACCACATCATTTCATGGTAAAGAATTTACAATTGTATAAAATTCAATTTTTAAGAAAAATGTGTTCACCACTACGGTGATCCACAAAAGTATAGAACCGCTGCAAATTTACTATACAAAGGATAGAAATTACACATATGACATAGCTATCTTTCTTATATTATTCAGGATTTATGAAAACATAATTTGCCGAAATTCATAGTTTGCTATATTGCACTCAAAAGTATAGAATCGACTAATAAATGAATGCAAAAAGCATTAAATACTACAAAATAGTTTAATATAGTAATTTATTTGAGGATCTCCTGTACTAATAACATCGAAAATGCGCTTTGGCATTCTATCAAGGTTTTTATGATCGATGCCTCAAAGGAGATCCAATTTTCCCAATGCAGAAAAAGCACTCCAAACCATAACACTCCCACCCCCGAAATTTATTCCAATTACTTGGGTTCTTTTCGTAAATAAAACCAGTAAAACGCTAAGCCATCCGGTCCATACAAATTAAATTTTTTTTTCTCGTCCGTAAAGATTACACGACAAAAAGGTTATTTCCTATGCTAGCGCATAGATCTAAATGAAACAAAAAAAAAACTTACCTTATTCCATTGAGTAGCCATATTTTTCCTAGCAAAATCGAGTCGGGCAACTTTGTGCTCAGATTCTCTTCTAGACCGAACAATGTTGTTGTGTTAAACCCTTCGAAGTTTCGTGATGTACTTGAATACCCAAATCGTCCCGAATTTGACACGTGGATGCGGATGAATTAGAGACTGCATTAACAATTCGTCTGAGGTGTCGCGGGGTAAGCTTCGAAGGACGTCCACTTCTAAGCTTTGGTCCATAATTTGCAGGATTTGACAAACTGCCCGATGACATAAAGCTACAATTTGTCCTTTCTCAATCTGTTAAAATGAATACCACGAGGCACGATGAAAAGAAAAACTTTTACGCTTGAAACTCGCGAGAAAGATGGCGGTTCTATACTTATGTGACAGTATGTAAATTGACTTCATTGCTATTCCGCAGTCAGCCACGAATTAGAAGATCAAGTTTCCTAAAATTACGTTTTTATAAGTGCTGAATTATGCATAAAAAATCTATTTCTATCTATTAGTGCATGTTCTGAACTCAAGACCAATTTTTTGAGCGGTTCTATACTTTTGTGGAGCACCTTAGAATATTTATATTCACCAGTGTGCTTTGTTTTTTCACTCATCAAATAGTTTTAGACTTGACATCTTTAAATCTATCCATGTTCAAACAATCTTCATTAGTATATTAACATTTATTAATATATTTTAAAATATAATTTTTATGTTAATGATCAAAGTATATTATGGAATCATTTTATTTTGTGACTTGGCAAAAATTAAAATGACCCCATAATATATTTACAGAGAAATACCAAAAGTTTAAAATATTTTATAAATTAAAGACATTTAAAAATCATTCAAATCAGGACGAAAACATTTTGTGATTTATTAACCTTTTAAAACAGATATGCATTTACTAAGATATCACAATCACACTGGTGGTGCTGTCGTTCGGTTTGTTCGATGTCTTCCTCTATTCCTTTTATTGGACTTTTGTGGTTCGTTCTCTTTTCTCTCGAAGGTAGGAGAATCGGAGCCGGGTGGACTGACCGAATTGGCTGGTCTCATTTTATTCGGTTTCGATCTTGCCAATTGAGATGTGGCCGTACTGTTGGGAATGAGATGCACGACGTTGCCCACGGCTTTCGTTCTTCCTTCGCGAAATACCATTCTCATCCCTGCACGCAAATATTCGGGATTTTTTATGAAGCGAAAATGTACAATGGCTTTATCTCCTGTTCTCAAACATTCTTTGGACATTTTGAGAATGGAGGCTGTCTGTCTTATACTTCCACAATGGACTGAAAAAGAATTCTTCTTTTAGCATATTAATTTCAAATTAAAAGAAATACTTTTTTTTTTAACAAACCCATTGCTTGGTAGCGTGGACTGATTGTTGTTGGATGATGCAAAACGAGTATTTCACCTTCAAATTCCCAACAAGCTTCAGGATTTAAAGCAGAAGACACCATGACCATACCTTTACGAATATCTGATCTTCTGATCTAATGGATTAAAAAATAATTCAATAAAATCATATTTTATATCAACAATATTTGAATACATTTTTGAATGTAAATTGAATACCTTTTTCAATGCAAATGAGGCAGTCTGCCCACTATGCACTTCACGAACGGGCATCCTTTTACGATGAATAGATTTGATTGCAACAGGTTGAAAATGACCCAGAGGATCTGGACCCAATAGTAAGATGTCATTAAGTCTAATGACTCCTTTCAGAGTTGTACCAGAAACAACTGTACCTACACCCTTTAATAAAAACATAATTATAATATTTAAAGTGAAAAATAAAAAATAAAGTAAAATAATACACTTACAGGAACAGAATAAGTATCATCTATTTGAAATTCAGCAGGATCTGAATCAGAATTAGGCATTCGAGTAGATAAAAGATTAAGAAACATTTTTAAGAGATCTAGATTTTTTCCAGTAACATTTGAAACTTGAAATATGGGACATAATCTAAAATTGTCATTTTTATAAATTAAAACCACGTTATCAATTTTTAAACTTATTTCCTGTTATATACCTTTCAGAAACAAAATTTGTAGCAGACACTATAACATCATCTTCTGAATGGACAATTACAGGTATTTTTCGACATCCTGGTGACTTCAAAATGCGAACAAGTAATTTCATTGTATCTTGTAGTACATTTGGAGGACACATGTCAATTTTTGTTACAACAACAAATACTGGAACATTCAAGGCAAGAGCTAATCCTAAATGTTCTTTAGTCATTCCAACTACGCCTGCATTTGCACCAATCTGTGAAAAAAAATTTTATTTTAGTAAAATTAGAAATGATAATTCACCAAACTAATATAATTATAAAACTGTAAATAGTTTTCACAAGTTTTATGCCTATCTCAAATTCATTTCATCACAAGATGTATTCTGATTCTATTTCAAATGTCTTTTAAATATTTCTATAATGTTAAATTATTACAAATTTACAATGAATAGTATATGTTTTTAATAATGTATTATAGGTATGTGTGTTTAATCATTAAATATTTCATTAAGTTAAAAAATATCTGTAAACTATAATTACTGTAATAACTAATATATTTGACAGTATCCATTATCATTCAGATATTATGTAACTTTAATATTTGACATTTTCATTATTTCACTTACATTACTACTAATTAATTAATAAATACAAATAAATATCGATTATTCCTGGATCATTCTGATACTTTTTAATATTTTGTAACTTCTGAATAAATACTATATTTAAATAAAACAAAGTTTATTAAATTATATTCAAGTTAAATATATTAAATTTGGTTAACCATGGAGCGCATGGAGTAGGATACATATTCAGGATAGCTTGCATTGCTCTCTTAAATAATTAATAATGTAAAGAGGAAAAACATAATCTGTAGCATCTGTTCAAAATTTCTACATTAAAAAAAAATAAATTTATTTATTACATAAATGCAATTTATTTGAAAAAATGTCTATCTAAACAATTTAAATTATTTTAAAAACTTTAAAGACATTGAAGAAAAGCCCAATAACATATTAAATACACAATTTGTAATATTCTTACCATAAGCATTGTGAAATCCGGAACATGCCCTGTCATACCAAAGATGGTAGTTTTTAAGTAGCGTTCATGACCAGCTAAATCAATGAATGTTATAACCTGAAAATATTTTCCATATTTATTATTGTTTTTGCATATGGTTTCATTATTTAAAATTTTTTTCTTTGCTTAATTTACTTAACTGAAATAAATTCAATAACATACGGTTTTATACTTATGAAAAATTACATAATTTACATAACATTTTGTTATTCTAACTTTGATTTATAAGATCGCCATAATAATTTATATTAACTTGTTTAATATATTATATATTCTTTTAATGCAAATAAATTATACCTTTGCAGATGTTTCGCATATTTTAACCCAGTCCATCTGCCCACCATGACTGTCAGGTTTATTTACAACATTTCCACAACTATCAAACCCTAGAATATCATTGCCAACACTGGATGTTCTTCCAGATTCCATTTCATGTTTGTGCCTAAACAATTTTTGTCTTGCAAACCCTCTCCCATTATCTAATTCTCCATGAGTCAGGACACCCAGTAATGTACTTTTTCCTGCATCGACATTTCCAACCACAGCAACTCTAAAAATAAATTATATATTTAAGAATATATTTTAATTAATTTCAAATTACATATAAAAAATAAAATATGCTTTATTATTATTATTATTTTTTAATATTTGAATTAGAAATTACTTAAAAACTTTCCTGATTAATTACAATATTCTTTGTTAATACTAGAAAAAAATTGGTAAAATCAATTATGTTTAATGTAATGTATTTTTAAAAAATTGCTAAGAAAATTCATATGTAGAATATTATCAACTAACAAAATCATTGATTTAATCTTAACATTTTATTACTGTTATACTGAAAAGGACAGTCACAGACAGTTAAGATTTGGCACCTTGAACATTTTGTATCTATTTTCATAGATGTAGGACATCTAAGATACCAAACTATAATATATTATTCCATTCTTTGGCTTAGGAATGTCAGGTTGTCCACATAAATAAGAATATAGCTGATGAAATATAAGGTTATAACTACTGAAATGGTATTACCTGTTTTAGTACAGGATTTATAGAAAAGATCAAGCAAAGATTTGCTGAATTAAAACGGACACTATCCATATATCACATATAATCTCATCAAGAAGATAGAAGACTTCCACTAGATATGATAGATTTTTTCCTGGGATCTCTATTATGTGTCATTCCATGTAAATTCCAAAAGCCCAACTAATGAACAATCATACCAATCTATCATTAAGCTTTAACAGGGTACCAAACTTTTGGATTTAAAAGCCTCTATTTACAATTTATAGATAACAATAATTTAAATATGGCTATAAATAAATTGATTATTGACAGTTTCCATTGACAATGCTCAAAATCAGTCAAATGCTAAGTATAAAAATGGATATATAATCCACCATCATAAACTTTATCTATGCTATTCTGTAAATTTTAGATACTTTATTATTGGCTCCAGTTCCTTTGACTCAGTGCTGTCACTACAGAGTGCCAGGGTGATGAGATCAAGGTCATACTGTCCAATAACCAAGTTTAAGAATACATGTAACCCTTCAGGAGAGACAAGAGTGACACACTCTCTCTCTCTTATAATTTAGAAAGTGATCTTATAATGATCTATAAATTCTGTTACTTTTGAACAATAAAAATCAGTTAATTGTATATGAGCATTTGTCACTCTCCATTACAAACAGATACAACACTCATCTTTCATGAAGCAGTGTCATTAAAATCTTCATGTTGAGGTTCACTCAGGCCAACCATTCAGGCCTGACATAGCATATTAGGTAATATAAATATAATATAAGAACAATAATGCTGCAAGGTTTTGCCTTAACATATCTCACTGCAATAAGCAGTTACAGTTTTAACACAAACGTCTTCCAACTGTAATACTGTGTTGAGTAATAACTGTCCACAAAAAATCTTTATCGGTGTTGTGTTCGTTACAATATGCACTAATGTTTTCGACCTCCACCAAGGTCTTCTTCAGATGCTGACTAAGCGTTGTCTCCCCTTGACCCTTAGAACAATGTCGTCCAAGATGTAAATATTGGTGTATCACGTTTCACCCCTCCGATTGTCCCCGTTTGAATTCCTCAAACAGGTATCTCCATCACAGGTCATAAATAGTGCCGGTCCTCCTGTAAGCGATCTTTGTGTGATTATGGCAAGCAATCTCCCTGTATAGAGGGTCCAAATGTTGGTTGAACTGGATGACCACGCACTTATCATTCTTAACAGGCTGCTGTTGTCTGCTGTCCGGCGTAGTCAGAGGGGTAGCACGGCTGCATGGGGGAAGACAGTTGGCACACAAATATCGCATACAGGAGGACCGGCACTATTTACGACCTGCTGCGCAATGCTAAAGACGTGATAGATCTCAACAGAGCCCCAAGGGTTTACTCCATTCCCATCAGGAATGATAGATTCCAAAGAAACTTAGTTTATATCGGTTCTACCGTCCACTGAACACAAAAACAGTTACGCAAGCATCAATCGGACATTAAAAATAACAGGCACACCACCGCCTTAACGGCGTACGTTAGCGACCCTGAAATTCAGGCGGACTTTCCGAACACCAAATTAACCAGACAGGCAATTCAAATTGATCACATCCATCACCTGGAGGCCTGGGAGATCTTTAAAGCCAACATTGGGGGCATCTGTATAAACTCTAAAGACAGAGAGACGATAGCGCAGGCGTGGAGATACCTGTTCGAGGAATTCAAACGGGGACAATCGGAGGGGTGAAACATGATACACGCAACATTTACATCTCGGACGACATCATTCTAACGATCAAGGGGAGACAACGCTTAGTCAGCATCTGAAGAAGACCTTGGTGGAGGTCAAAAACATTAGTGCATATTGTAATGAACACAACACCAATAAAGGTTTTTTGTGGACAGTTAGTTACAGTTTTAACCATTTTCAAAAATTTTAACCTGGAATAACTTGATCTCAGATGTAATCAAAGAATAACTTGAGATCTGTAAAAAAAAAAAAACAACAAAAGTGTTCACTTTGCCAAAAATTGTGACCTTCAGTACTTTCATTGTCATCTGTTTGGTGAATCAGCACCAAGATCCAAATTCACAGAAAAGTAAATGATGATAAAAGAAATCTTTTAATAAGAACTTTTTCTCATTCTTATTTATAAAAATTCATACTATTTTAATTATTCAAGATTTTCTTAAATTATGCCATAATGAAAATCATATGATTTACTTCTCTATTTGAATCTACATAATATGATGTATTCATCCTAAAACGAACTAAATAGCAAATGTGCATAAAAAGTAATTTCACTTTTTTCATTTATTCACTAATGAATAATAAATTGCAAAATCTACTTGTAAAAACAAATAGATTTTGCAATTTTAAAGTCATCAGTATTTACTTAATTTCCTAACACACTGGGTTGAATATAAAATCGACTTACTTAAACCAAATAACTGGAGCGTTTATGTTCTATTATTGCATTCGCAATAATAGAACATAAACGCTCCGGTTATTTGGTTTAAGTAAGTCGATTTTATACATCAGTATTTACATTTAACTATCCAAAACTACATAGTATCAGATAATAATAAGCTATTTTTGAAATTTTTCAATAAAGAAAGTTAGATTTGAAACTAAACTATCTGATATAAGAATGATTCATGTAAATATTGTGTATTCATTTTAAAACATATAACAAATATATAATTATTACCTCACTTCAACAAAATCATTATCTGCAGCCTTTTTTCTCACTAGATATTCAGAAACATAATTCATTCCAACTTTATGTTTTCTCAAGACTGCACAATCTGCTTCCAGTGAACTTGCCATGCTTTTTAATGTGGCCACAGAGGCTTCCAGTTCTTCTTCAGTAAGTCCATCATTTCCACTATCTGTTCCTAAAAATTATTACAGATATTTACTTTATAGCTAACCCATAATATTTTATAATACAGAAATAGTTTAATGAATTAAATTCATTAAAACTATTTTTTATATTATTATACAATAAACTTTTATTAGATTAACATAATATTGAAACTCATGTTTTTACTCAACAATATAAAAAAATATTAAAGATTTTTGGAATAAAATTGTTTAAATAATATTTGATTCACCATTGAGCTGCAATTTGAAAAAATTGTAGACCTATAAATTCCCACTGTTGTCCGTCTGTCCGCCCGTTTGTCTGTCCTTCCTTAATCTCAAAAACAGAGTCAGACGCTTGAAAATCAAAACCAGATATAAAAAGCTTAGTGGTAAGGAGGCCCCAATTAACTATATATGAACTTCTGATACAAACCAGAAAGTCACATTATTTTAATTCAAAAATTTTCCCCTGAAAAGAGTTAGATGACCAGCACAACTTCATTTGCTAACAGAAAAGTAAGATGTATAGAGGAAGACATAACAGTACTAATTTCAGGTGGAGAGCATATATTTTATATTTATTTTAANGCCAGGCTGCAGGTCACAATAAATAATTGCTTGTTTTCTATCTAATCTCATTATGATATGTATCTTTCAAGAAAAGTAATATCAAAAGTTCATCATTTCTTAAATTTTAATTAAAATACCACTTTAAATTTTATAATTTTGACAAATTGATAACTATAATATTTTATAAAATTATAAGCTATATTATTTTTCAAAATCTATATTAATTATATAAAAGAATCATGAATAATTTCCAAAAACATTAAAGTTATATTAAATACACATCTTTTTCAAACATTTATGGAAAATGTCATAATTAATATGAGACATCCATTTAACTTCTTAAAATTATATATCAAATTCAATATATATAATAATCTCTAGTTAAATCTCTAGTTAAATCTCTAGTCCTTTTGAATTAAATTCTTCCAGAATTGGATTGGTCCAGTAATACATATTAATATATTCCTGGAAATTGGTATAGGCTCATATATACCAATACTAGGAATATTGTTTATATATAGGCTCATAAACTGTATATGTACTATATGAAGCATGCAATGCCATAACATTGTAAATGCCATTTTTCTCTAAATTTGTTTTATTGAAGAATTGAATTCTAAACACAATATTTTCTGCTGTGAAAAAATACTGTGGCAATAGTGGCACTGTAAGTAGCTGCATTTTGAAATTGAATTTATGTGAAGCCATAATGTTTAAAGTGCCAGAGTGCAAGTCATGTGACTTTCGGCACCTAAAACATTACGATTTATATTTACATCATTATGATATTCCAGAAAATTTGTAATGTAGTGAGTTTTTTACCATTTTATTGTAAAATTAAAATGAATTCATTCACTAGAAAAAATGTTTTTTATCTCTCCTGAAAAGTTTGGTTTTTTGGCATTTACAACATTATGGCATTGCACTCTTCATATATTATCGACCAGGTGGCCAAAGCAGTTAAAGTCCAAAAAATCCAAGGAATTTTTTGGGGATGGTCCGTCCTGGATGTGTTGAGGTCTGTCTCTCACTAATCAGTCCCTAAAAACATTTTTAAAAATTTAATACAGTAGACAATATTTGTACTTTGTTTATTAATGTATTTTTCTCAAGTGAAATATAATGTATATTAAAATAAGAAAAGGTCACCAAGCAAAGATCCATCAGAAACTTCCTGATTTTCTGGTGGGTCAGTTCACTGCTGAATCCTTCAAAAAGTTATAATATTCTGGTCTTAATTCTCCTTGATTATAACTATAGCAACATAAAATTAAGGCAAGTTTTCTTAAAATCACTTTACTTAACACCATTTAGAAAATTAATTGATTTTTCAACTTTGGAATAACATTTTAATTTGATAATATTTTGTGAAATAGTGATTTTTTTTCAACAGATTAATAAAGAAAATAAACTGTTTTGAATTTATTCTATTTAAATAATAAAATTATTATTGATTGCTTTCATTCTTCAATAAACCAAGAACTGATTTATGTAGAAAGCAAACTTTAGTAGAAAAAATAAATTTGTTAATTATTTGATATTGTAAAGTATTGACCTTTTAGCAGAGAGGGAACAAAAGAAGTGCACCTTGTCAATTGGACCCATGTGCAGTCGGGCAATATACCACTTGTAAGGTGTTGACTTGTAAACAGAGGACAAACAAAGGAAGTGCTGACTTTGTCAATTGGACCCACCTGTAGTCAGACATTAGACCATTTGCCATATGGTAAATAACTGAATGTAAACAAGTGGCAGACATTTATGTAAGCTCCACTCTCATCGGATGATGGCGGACCCGAGTGTAAGCTGTTTGGGCAAGAAAGTGTTGTGATTGGTCAGAAATCCCCGTCCAAAAAACCTTAAATTGCAGGGCAAACAAGAGAGGAGGAGAGAAAGGCAAGAGACTGGTACACGGTAGTTTCAAGAACTTTAGGAAGCCCGCTGAGTGTAGAGAGAGTGTTCTCCTCTGGTAAGCATCTCAGAGATGGGGTAGTGCAGAGACTGGGACCATGCAGTTGAGCCAACTCCACAAGCTGATTGAGGCCTCTTCAAAGTTTAATAGTTCCCAGAAACCAATCTAGTATGTGAGTCACCATGCTTAGTTATCCTGTATATATGTTATGTTTTCGAACTTGTACTTTCTGCATATAGAATCTGTAAATAAACTGTAAATATTATCAATTTGAGTGTGGAGGTGTGCTTTCCATCAAACTTGGATCACTACATTGAATCATGATACACATGGAAACCAACTCAACGAGACAGAGTTTGGGAAAGAACTTCACTAGATCTTCACTGATATATAAAAAGATACTATATTTAACATATCTTTTATGCATTATATTTATCAGTGTTTTATTAATGTAGCTCATCTATCATTCAATAAAACACAATCAATTAATAAAGAAAAATATAATTCTAATATATAGTATTTATATATAATATTGTAATATATAGTATTTTTTACATTAAAATTATTTACTGGATGGTAAAGGTTTTGTTTGATGTACAGTACTTAATATTCTATGTATTGTAGTTTAAAAAATTTTCACATTTCCTTAAAATATGATAAAATATTCTTGTCTGACAATTTAATGAAGCCAAACAAAAACATCTGAGATGTAAAGAAATTATGCCAAGTAAAAATTTATGACAATTTAGACAAGTCAAAATTTTTCTTAGCAGTTTTTCATTGATAAAGATAAGAATAATTTTGACTGTTGTCAAAATTGTCATAAATTTTTACTTGGCATAATTTTTTTAATATCTCAGATGTTTGTTTGGATATCAATTGTTTTTGTTTAATAATTGTATTATTACGTCAAGACATAAAATCAGTTGGGGCTCAGCTGTTGCTGACTGAACATGTCACCAACCAAATGCACTTTCAACTGAACACTTTCAATATTCATTTCAGGCACCGCCAACCAACATGCTGTCAATTGAGTGCATTACTGACCAACACTTTCAATATGCCATTTAGAAAAATTGTTATGAAAAGTTTTAATTCACATAAATTTGAGCTTTTGTAATTCTGAGTAACATTATGATAAAATTCATTTGTTTCCATGCAATTTTATCCATATAAGCATAAAATTACGCCGTAAAACTGAATTAGTTCCATGGGAAACCTGTGAACTTTAACCTATTGACCTAGAAGCTTCTCCAGTACTACACTGATAATGAGAAAGGCTTAAGTTTAAAATTTGAGCTTTCTAGACCCAGTAGTTTTTCTCTGCAAGCATCTGCAGTGCCGGGCAAAGAAAAAGAAGAAGAAAATACAGATTTTTTTTGGTGGTTTTTGCACTTTTCAATTGTTTATATTTTGGCAACTGCTTTATACAAAATCTTTCACACTATCTAAGAAAACAATTTTCTTTTGAATGAGATATTCAGAATTACTTTTACTTCAGGTGTTTCGGGTGGAGAAATGCCCCCAAAATTGGCAACTCTGATTCTTGTATATATATACAGTAGATCCCCCTATAAGACAGGTTCCTATAATTACGATTCCTATAAGACGGCAAAAAAATTGTGGCGGTATCCGTAAACAACGGTAAAAAAGCTCCTATAATTACGTAAAACACCATCGGGTAGCCGAACTACTTTCCGCCATCCAGTGCCACGCTATGGACAGTTTAAGTGGGTAAATTGAGTTTAGTATCGTCTGTACATATAATTATATATAAATTAGGTACTGTATATATAATTATATATATTAACTTAATTTATTGTAACTTTATTATAATTATATATATACTTTCTGCCGTCTAGTGACATGCTACGGAGAGTTTAGGCGAGCTATCGTCTGTACAGTATGTAAATTAGGTACCGTAAGTCTAATACAGTACTGTAATTTTATACATTTCTTGTGAAAGAAACATTTCTTATTCAATGGCGATTAAAATTATTTATATTAATGATATCTCCAAAGTTCAACGAAATTTTCGCAGAAAAATAACATCAGAAATCGCGGCCGCAGTTTGCTGCACTGTTCCGTGACGAAAACAAGCTTGAGCAACGACGATGTTGAATGGTGCACACTCGGTAAGTAATCCTACAATTTTTTGTTTATAGCATAGTTATACGTATTTTGGAAATGTTGAGTCGGATTAGTCTAGAATCAATTAATTTTATGGAAGAAAACCTTTCAAACAGCCATAGTCCGTAAACTTCACATGTCAGACTGTGATTGGCTGTGATTCCTACAAAATTGATTCATAAAGAACGGAACGTATCTACTGTCTTATAGGGGGATCAACTGTATTCAGCTAGTGACTATTTTAATTGGTAGGAAGTAACTGCAATGACTCCTGATATAACCAGAAATTCCATACTTTAAAAATTTGCATATTTTTTTTGATAATATCACTATTATCTTCTATATGGCAATATAACTTTTGCCACTGAAACAAGTCTAACCTGATATTTGATAATTAAAAATTGGAATTCATAACAGCAATGACATTATTGATATTAATATTTTATAAATACTTTTTATAAAAATTGCCAAAAACTGTATTATATTGTATACAGGAAATATTATTTCCTGTATATACTATATTACACTTTTTACTATACTGTATACAGTATATTACTTTTTGATTTTGATTACAGGAAATAATATTTCGTGTATTCAAAATCAAATAATAGAATAAAGAATAAATATACAAATTGCTCAATTTTTCTAAAATTAAAACCTAAAATTCTTTAGAGGAGGAAAAAAAAAATTTAATCTTTAAACAAAATATTTAAATTTTTTAATCTGAAGAACTAAATTTTTTCAAAAACTTCAATTTCTAATTCAAACGAAATTAAAACATTTTTAAAAGCAATTAACATGAATGAATTTATTCTATAACAGTTATAGAAATATATAATTCATAAAAATCAATACCTATTCCAATTGTGTATATAACCTCTCCATGGCCACTTTCAATTCTTTGTTGTAACCTCTTAACTAAAGCATCATACTGTTCAGCTGAAGGGCTCACAAGTACATTCTGTAATAATAAAGTTTATTAGAAATATTGATATGAAGATATTTTATATGGAAAAACTATTTCAACAAAAATTCTAAATGATAACACATTTAGAATTACTTTACAAATATTAATGAAGCAATATTTTATTATTTTATATGTCAAATAATATACTTTATAAAGATCTCTTAATAATTAAAAATACACAATATTTAAAAAAATAAAAATAAAACCTGAATGTCTTTTCTTACAACAACTTTAATAATCTCTAAACTGGAATTTGAAAACAAATCATTCAACTAATAAAATGTTCACTTTCAATTCATAACTTAATGATAACTTGAGTGAACAATGATAGATATTAGGATATGATTGACAAGCTTTTTAATATTTTATGTTTTATTTATGTATTTATTCATACTTACATTCATATTAACATGAATAACTATTTTTATTATTTTGTTACTGATTTCGTGTAACTTTAAATGTTTCTTAAAGAATTTATTATTTATAATTGATAATAACGATATATTGTCTTATTCTAAAATTTACATTTCACTTAAATATGAAGCAAAATTCTGCATTACCTTTTCATCAAGACCTGTAATTTCATGTTTTGCTGTTTCTATAGAATTCTTATCAGGTACAAAAAGATCAACTACTGATTTTGCTGATGTTGGAGTTTGGTCTACAATTGCTGCCATGTTATGAAGAACCAAGTGAAATTTAAATGATCAGAGTATTTTAAAGAAACAGCTTTCTGATTCGGAAAACAATTACGAAATCCTATGTCACCCACATCTCAACTGTATAGTTTCTGTTTAAATTTAAAAAAAAAAGTTTATTTTTAAACATAAGTTTTAAATAAATCATTTAACAAAATTATTGAATATTCTTAAGTTTATTTATTTACTTTTATAATCAAAATTCAGACTGGAAATAAGTGAATTACACTTTTTTCTTAAAAAAAATTATTACTACTTATTAAGGTTAAAACACAATTAATAAACCAAACAGACAAATTAAATTTTATAAAATGCATTAGTAATGCAAGTTATAAATTGTTAATTATCATTATTGTTTTCATGTTATATCTAAATTAATACAGATAATGAATATTTGCATGTCACTAATAAACAGTCATTAAAGATTCTAATACAATATATATAATCTGATCTTAAGACATGGAGTTTATGACTGTAATTAAATAACTTTAATGTAAAAGCAAAGTGCAATTTAATTAATCATGATAATGATTATGATGATGATGATGATCATCATCATCATCATAATCATTATAATTATTATCATCATCATCATGCAATTAGCTATTGAAGAATGTATGCTTCTCCAGTGTTTTCTGTCAAAATCAATTAACAGTAAAAGATCAATATTTATTTATATATAAAGACACATCTATATATATATATATATAAATGAACGTGTGTGTCCTATATTTCACTTTTCATCCAAAAGTACACATCGCACATGAATGGTTTGTACGTGGTAGTAGCCCCAAGTCTCCATTCGTGCACTATGGTAGTTGCGTCTCTATAGCTATAAGGGTGTGGGAGATATGGGCCTGAAAGTGGAAGATTTTCTATTTCGATTTTAAAAATTTTCGAATTTCAATTTGTATTCGAATTGGTTTGATTATAGAACGATTGTAAATGTTCCAGAAAATTGATCAAATTGAAAATAGTTCATTTGACTGGACATAAAAATTCTCTAATTAGTCTGGAAACAGGGGACCTAATTCTTGCATTCTATGCTATAAGGGTGTGGGAGATATGGGGTTGAAAGTGGTTGACTTCGAAGATGTGTAACAATGGAAGTGTCAACAGTGGAAGTGTTAACAATGGAAATGTTGAGTAACAAAGAAAGTGTTAATATAAAGTGGCATGCAAGATTTACAGGCAGTTTTTTGCGTTTTTGTGGGAAATCGAACATATTTTTAGACTCACATAAAAATTCTCTAATTAGTCTGGAAACAGGGGACCTAATTCTTGCATTCTGTGAAAACGGGTAAGATTGGCTATAATGTAATTATCTTAATCTTCACTATCGTTACTTTTCGCCCAGCGTAGCGGGTCCTTGCAGCTAGATTCTAGATTACTTAGAAAAAAAGTCTTTTAAATATAAAAAAAAATTATATTACATACAAATAAAAACCCAGTAAAGTGGGTCTTAGCAGCTAGTTAAAAAATAAAATTAGTGAAAAAAAAGATATATAATAACTATGTAAATATATAAATTATTATTTTTAAAATATTGAGTCTATTGGATGATGTTAATGTTATTTAGAATCCCATTCATTTTCTTTTAAAAATTCATATAAAATGAAAAAAAAAAAAGCTTATTTTTATCTATTTTAGTAATGAAATACTGTTTTAAATAAAACAAAAAAATTTCAATGTATTTTAAAGTGTTTTTCTAACTTGAAATTTGTATTTTGAATGAGCGTAAAATCATTTTTCACTTAATAAATTAATTATATTTCATAGTTTCTATTATAAAACCAATTGATTCTTACAATAGAGTTACAATAAGTTTTTCTAAACTACTATAATTTCTATTATTAAAGTGACAAAAATAATAAAATCAATTAAATATACATTTCTAAAATGGCAAGAATTACAAAATTTTATTTTCCAATTTAGTAATAAGTATTTATAATTGCTATGATTCTAAATAAAATGCTTAATACACTAAAAAATAAAATGAGGTTTCAAAGAACTAAAAATAAATCAATTGTGATTAATTAAATAAAATTAATAATAATTCTGCTTTAGTTTTCTCTTGTCAACTATGATACATCCACACAAATTCATCATCATTAAATTAATCAAATTTGTAGGATTTGAATGCATTTAAAAGCTTCAAAATGTTTAGCTTTAATAAAGTATTTATTGTATATTTATCCAAAGAAGCAGATATTTAAAATTTTAAGTTTAATTTTAAACTAGTTGGAATGAAGGTTTTCATTTAAAATTGAAAGAGAGAGAGAGAGGAATCAAAATATAAAGTATTTATATATTTAAAATTTAAAAATTTATGAAAAAAAAAACATTAGGAAACTAACAATGAGAAAAAAATCTTAAAGTGCAGTGCACTTTCCTTAATCCAAAACTAATTATTGTGTAGAATTGTTCAGATTAATGAGGTATTATATAAAAAAAGGAAATCATAACAGATTAATGACAAATATATTTAAAATATGCATACTGTGTATATTTATGTTAAATTGTTTGCTACATATTACTTTTATAAATTCCTCATATTTAAAAAAAAATCTATGGGAAAAAACTATTCACAAAGTTGACCAAAATCCAGCAATTAAACAGTTGCATAAATGTTTTCATCTACCTTCTGTTTAATTGCTGGATTTTGGTTGACTTTGTAAGTAGTTTTTTGTATATCCAGTATTGCATTGTTGCTTTTAAATTATCTATGATTTATTTTTGTTTTTAATTAGAACATTTAGTTCAAAATTGATTCGGATTAAGTGCATTTCATATTAGTAAAATTGCACTGAACATTTTCTATCCCTCCTTTTAACATTAAAGCAAAATAGAGTTTGTTTTTCCACTTGCAAGTGCATATAAAACCTAAAAACATATGTACACCATCATTCATTAGATGTACATTAGCACTAGATCTAAAAAATTATGCAAACGTGTAAATGATAAATAAAAAAAACTCCCTAAGAGCATGCCACAAGCCAAAAATAATAAACACAAACATAATTAAAAAATGCTGTATTAGTGAAGTGCTATAAAGCAAAGCATGTTAAAGCAAGATATTCCTGTATACAATTTGTTGCTAGCAAAAATTAATACATGTAAACATTAATTTAACAAATATGAAAATTTAAAGCTAAATAAGGCTAAGGGATACTTTCATTTCTTCTAATATAAAACTGTCATTAAATTCAAATATGATCATATTTTGACTTTAATCAAATTTTTAGAAGTCATGAAGCAAACTTATTATTAAAAAATTGTATTGAAATACAGAATGGCATAAAATATATGGAGGAAATAATACATTTAAACTGTGAAAATTTATATTATCAAATTAAAATGCTCATTGGTTGTATGTTTTATAGGATAGTAAAGTTTTGCATTAATTACATTCTCTAAAACTATCCTAATCAGGTGTTATATTTACTGAAGTTGCATTTGACACTTGGCAATGATGTAGAGTTGCCAGATTATAACCGTAGTTTTTTTAGCAGAGATTGTACTATCTAGTGGTATATTTCAAAACCTAATATATATTTTTTTGTTCTGAATTCATGTTATTGATTATTAAATACAATCCAGTTCATTACTGGTTGATAATTAGTTGTGTAAATATCTATATATAACTGATATTTGCATGATGGGGCAACGAATATGCTTTGCATGTATGATGAAGCAGCTTCTAGTGACTACATCCATGTTGTTATCTTTCCCTCTGTTTTTAACCAGAGATTTATCTCAGCTGGTTGGAAATCATCAATGAAAACCAAGATCTGGCAACCTTACCATGATGTATGGAATAAAACACAACTGAAAGCCATTCATGATTACAAAATATAAAAAAATGAGCCCAGTTCTCTCAATTTGTTACTATCAGTGTTTAAATATTGTTCTGTATATATAATATGATTTTCTGTAATTTTGGAATTGAACTTTCAGTCCTCACTTGTCAATGTAAAGTTAATAACTGAGACCTCAAACATTCAATTAGTGTAAAAGATATAGCTATATTAAGTTGAGTTTTTGAATTTGAGTGTTTAATGTTAAAGTAATTCCATAAGTTATACTATTCTTTCTATTTAGATGTCTCATCATATGCAATATTCACAATAAATCCGAAAATGGTATCATCTAACTCAGTGATTCTCAAACTTTTTCGATCCACCGCCCCCTTTGTTCCATAAAGTTATACCCAACGCCCCCTAACCCATTTTCTCTTGTGTGAGAAAAGGATTGGAAATATTCTTAGGAAAACTTTTCTATGAATCTCACACTTTGTGCCCTTACTGTACATTGTTCTCATCATCTGGAAACCATTAAACGCAATGTTTCCTCTTATCAGCCCCAATTTTGCCTTTGGTCACCGTTCAATACCCTGCCTCTATCATAGATCTATTCATCGCGCCAGAAGGGGGCGTTATTGCTTACTTTGAGAAACGCTGAGCTAAAATAAAAGTCAATGTGTTAGAAATATTCAAGTTGTGACCTTCAATAAAAAATAAAAAATATATAAAATGTCAACATTTTATATATATTCCGTCGAATTTTTATATATAGAATTTGTCTGCCCTCGCCCCTCTATATTTCCTTAACGCCCCCCAATTCTCTTTGAGCCTTCTACTGCCCCCCTGAAAGCCTCCAGCGCCCACAAGGGGGCGTTATCGCCCACTTTGAGAAACGCTGATCTAACTCATTTACTACATATTAAACTTTATTCCATACTTTTCTGAACAATTTTTAATATAAAAATATCAAGCTTTGAAATCTCAAATCATTGAACCTATTACAAAAGTATTAAAAATTAACTATGATTTACAATTGATTTAACTTTCAAATTAGAGCTAAACTCTATCTATAAAAATTAAGTATAATAAATAATTTAATAATGCAAAAACAATTATAAATCAAAAATAATGAATTATGAAAATTTTTATAGTATAACTTTAAAAAATTACTAATATTCTCTGTAATAAATAATTTTCAGTAAGGAAATAGAGACATTAAATTTTCTAACAACTTATTGCACATTTTATATCTTGAAAATAATTTTTTGTTAAATTATATTGTATTCAATTTTATTGTCTCAAGCTTTGAATAGTAGTTTAAATACTGTAGTAAGTAGAACTCTGATGTTAAGTAGTGCAGACACCTTGTTATTCCAGTAAACACTTTTTTTTGCTTAACTAACATTTCCAGCTGAACAATTATTACTGTTAATCTGATAACAGCTGATTTACAACTGAAATTTATAGTAATAGTATACTTAAATACGAATCTTACTTACTATTTACATCATACTTATTTAATAAAGATGAAGAGGAAAATATACAGTAAATTTACTATCAACCCTCTAAAAAGTATTCAATAAATTTTAAAAAATGATTCTTCTAATTAATATAATTAGATCTGCTTAAAATTAATAATCTCCAATTTTGATAGATGAAAATTAGTCATTCAATTGTATTGTAGACAGCCTTATTGACCGACTGGCTTTTTTTTATTTTCTTAAAAATATTTTAAATTAAAAAATCATTGCTACACAGAAATAAATTATGTTAAATGATTATTTATAAAATAAAAATTTGAGTTTTGTATTAATTTCCTAATTTTCTTGTTTATTATTGAAAAAAACTAATCCAAAATAATTAAAATTGATAAAAATTATCTCAATAGTAAATAGTTTCATCAGAAATTTTGAAATGCAGAATCATATTTCAAATTGTTTTAATCTACGATTAGAAAAAATCAATACTAAACACTTACATGTCATTAATATTTGAAATTACATATTTCAAAATTTTGTCTCCAAAGACTGATTTAAACACAATTTTCATTATTGCACTCTCGTTTTAGACTGATTTTCCAAATTGCATCGGAAGCTTTTATAACCACGCAGCATCACGTCGTTGCACAACAAAACATCAATGTCTTACAAATTAGTGTAAAGGCGTTGCATCATTTTAAATACAAACCCTATCACAATACATAACCATCATGTCATCATTGTCTAAAGGTAGATGTCACAATTATCTGACTAATTGTGAAATATTTATTAATTAATGGGCAAATCTAAAGATTAATTTCTTGTAAATAATTGCATGCAATACACGAATACTGCATAGTATTGCATGCAATAGTATGTAATGAAAGAAATAAGGTAATGTAATACCTATTTGTATTAAAATTATATAAAATAGTATGAGGAAAAGCAATGATATATGACAAAAATCAATTATTGATGTAAGAAAAACTTTAAATCAAAATCTTGCGTCATTAATTATGATTTAAAAACGATAAAATTTGATATTTAATCGCGATCGATCGATAACGATCAATCATCTGTTTAAATATTGTCACAACACGTGGCATAATGTGTCCATTTCACTTCATAGAGATATTCGTTCAGATATTAACCGATAAGCATTATTATTATTAATGTTACCTCACCGAAGTGGGCATGATCATCGACGTGATCGATATTTTCATCCGAATCAAATCATTCCCACGCTGATATTCCGTGTCCTTTAAATACGGTCAAACATATAAACAATTAAAACTGTTTTCGTTGGACGTTCTTGACATTCAGAAGTCAAATCTAACTTTTAGGGAAATTACATGCCAACAGAGGGCGCCTTATAAATTTTTCCTATATTATATATATATAAAATTTTAATTAATTCTATATTAAATATATAATTAATTTTTACGAAAATTAAAATTTCTCTCTAAATATTAATAAATGAAAAATATAAGCAATACTTATAAATAAAATTTACGTAAATTTTAAATATACGGTGGTGTTTGTTGCTTTAACGTAGTTAAATTTTATTATAGGAACTTATACTAAAAAGCCAGGCGATAGTCTTATGATTTAAATATTACTTTTAAGAATAAACATAAGTAAGAAAGATAGGAAAAAAATAAAATAAAATAAAAATTTCGCCCAGCGTGGGGCTCGAACCCACGACCCCGAGATTAAGAGTCTCGTGCTCTACCGACTGAGCTAGCCGGGCTGCGCGGTCAGCGTTTTCCATAAGAGTATAAGAATTTTAAGTCTTGTATTATATATGTGAATTTTATAAATTAGTTACGTATTCAATAATCAACATTGTACTTTAAGACTAAATCTCGATGTTAATTTTATGCAGAGATTTAATATTAAAGCAAATTGACTTTCGACACGTGTCAAAATATAAAATTTAAAAATTTTAATATTTTGACATNTATACTTCTATATTCGGAAATTAAAATTTCTCTCTAAATATTAATAAATGAAAAATATAAGCAATACTTATAAATAAAATTTACGTAAATTTTAAATATACGGTGGTGTTTGTTGCTTTAACGTAGTTAAATTTTATTATAGGAACTTATACTAAAAAGCCAGGCGATAGTCTTATGATTTAAATATTACTTTTAAGAATAAACATAAGTAAGAAAGATAGGAAAAAAATAAAATAAAATAAAAATTTCGCCCAGCGTGGGGCTCGAACCCACGACCCCGAGATTAAGAGTCTCGTGCTCTACCGACTGAGCTAGCCGGGCTGCGCGGTCAGCGTTTTCCATAAGAGTATAAGAATTTTAAGTCTTGTATTATATATGTGAATTTTATAAATTAGTTACGTATTCAATAATCAACATTGTACTTTAAGACTAAATCTCGATGTTAATTTTATGCAGAGATTTAATATTAAAGCAAATTGACTTTCGACACGTGTCAAAATATAAAATTTAAAAATTTTAATATTTTGACATATTCAAAATTAATTCCGTACAAAATTTTATACATGTAAAAATATAATATTTCGTGCAAAATCAAATTATTTAAATAAATTAAGTAGAAAAATACTATTTTAATTACATTTACCTTTCACGTGTTGGAAGCCTTACGAATCACTTCCTCCAAAAATTTGTTTGGAATATTTCTGCAATTTAATATTATTATTCGAAAAATGTTTATTTGTATTTATAAAATTAATAATAATAATTTAATGAAAATATAAATTTAAATACTTTTAAGAATTTAGAAAACTTCCGGTTCTTCGCCATATATTTTTAAAACCGGAAGTAACGTTTGGAAATTGAAAAACTAAATTTGCCGTTTAGTGCATTTATATGATATATCAAAATTCTTGCATTTGTCAAATATAGGATGTATTTGCATTGTATAAAGCTGCTTTAATTAATACAGATAGATAAGTAAGCCAATGCTATAGCACAGGTGTTCCCAACTCGTGTTCCGTTATTTGTTAAAACGTATTAAACTATGGAGAATCTCTGTACATAAAGCAAGCCCCCATCTGTCCATGCTTATTAAAACAAAAAAACCTGCACAGTATAGGGAACAAACGCTATTGCGGGCAAGAATGTACGAATGGTGCCGACAATTTGGTGAAAGATGAGAGCTGGTGATAAATAAAACACACGGACATGGTCGACCAACTGCAGTAACGCCAGTGAATAGAGTGGTTGCGGCCGAAGTTTTCATCTGTAAAACGTGAACGTCGAACGTCGAGCGCCGCTTACAAGATAGCGGCGCTCGACGTTCGACGTTCACGTTTTAGGCTGTGTACACACTAGGCGTTAAACGCGCGTTAGCAGCGTACACACCGCGCGTTAGCTCGGCGTTAGACGACCGTTTAGTGGAGCATACGCACTGGCTCAGTTTGGAAATGGACGTGAAAGTAATTGCTTGTGTGCCCCTCCTCCATCGTCACTATAAAAGACGATGGCAGAGGCAAAGAGAATTTTGGGTGCATCCAATATTACGAGATAGACTGACGCATGGAATGTTTCTGACGTTGTATCCAAAACTAAGACAAAATGAACCCAAGTTTTTTAATTCTTTTAAAATATCTATAAAATCATTTGACGATGGTTGGTCTTTTTTAGATTTCATCAACAAATAGATCAGTATCGAAATGATCGTTCTCCATTTCAGCCAACGTACGTCCACTCTACCCGAAAGCGCGCGATCGAATGTACAACAACATGGCAGCACATATATCTCAAAGCGCTGGGCTGACGCCCTCAAAACGCGCGTTTTAAGAAAAATCTATAAACGCGCTTTTAACGCGCGCTTGGCCAAAAGCGCGCGTTTGAGTGTGTATGCCTATGCAGAACTCTTGGTTCTTTAAAACGCGCGTTTAAAAACGCCTAGTGTGTACGCAGCCTTAAAGATGAAAACTTCGGCCGCAACCTCGCTAATATCACACGAGTTGAGCAAGTTATCCTGGAGAACCGGCTAGTAACCGTAAGACACATTGCAAACGAATTGTTCATCAGTGTCGATAGTGTTGAGAAAATCATCCACGAGCACTTACTGTTCCGTAAGATGTGTACCAGATACAGCTGACATGTGATCAAAAATGGGTACGCAAGAAGGCATATGAGCAGCTTTTGAATCGGTTTCATGTCGAAGGTGATTAGCTCCCAGCGATTAACATTTGTTTCGGTCCCTTAAAGAACACCTGGGAGGAACGAAATTCCAGACAGATGATGAACGTACCGGCTACGACGTAAGACCAATTCTATTTACGAGAAAGGTATCGGGGACCTATCCCGCTGTTGGGAACATTGGAGAATATTTCGAAAAATTGACGTAGTTTATATATGTTTTGGACATACCTTTCGATCTGTAGAAATAAAAGTCTCGTTTAACTTTGAACGACCCTTGTATATATACACAAATGTCTATACTTCTCTTTGCAGAAAGGAAATGCAGAACGAGAGATCCTAACGAAGTGTCGTCCCGTAAATTGTTACTCGTGACAATTACCGAATATACTTCTATATTCGAGATCTGTATCGGGGAAGAAAAGAACTCTTGTGTAAACATCTTTCTTATTCTTAGATCGAATTAGATTATAAGCATAAGAAGCTGTTTTCCAACTTATAGTACTAACTACAATAATGGCTAAAGTCTCTTTCCACATTGTTAGAATTTTGTCCTTTCTTCTATTCTTATTGTATTAATGTCTACTTAGGACTTATTATACTGGTGTTCGGTTTTCATGCAAAACTTGTGCATGTAATGGAAAATAACGGAAATAAATGTTTATTTAAATGTTATAATAGAAGTTCTTCTGGGAATGATTTATATATATTATGTAATTAACTACAAGGAAACTCACCATGTTGATGTAAACCTGCTGAAGAGGTACAGTACCTTGAGGTCCGAAATACAAATATGTGTTTAGTGTGTGTACAGGTGAAATACCAGGTGAAAAATAAATATTGTTTTTTCTGAATAAGAATTCCTCCTTTTGCAAAAAAACTGAACACCAGAAACTCGCCTGTAGGAGTATTTCCAGGTGCATTTCCTAGAAAAGCACAGCTGGAAGACGTTTTGTTAAAAGACAGTTAATTAAACCATTTTCGCTTTAAGTTAGCCGCCGTATGGAGGTGCAGCGAGGTTCACAAGCGCCGAAGACAGAAGTTAAATGCCTATCATCATAAATTATAGGCATATTACGTACTGTACTGTACCTCAAATGAAAATTGGGGCACACGAATATCTATTTAAACCCTTTCCAAGACAAAATGAAGCCTAATTGAGTAGTCTATATGTGCATTGATAAACATTTTTTAAATTACTTGTTTTATCTAAACATACAGCCAGCAGCCATTATCTTTTTGAAAACAGTACTACAGTATAGCCTCGATTATCCGACTCAATTGGGGACTGGGGTTGGTCGGATAATTGAAAAGTCGGATAACCGAAAAGTATGAAAAAATCCATTATTAGTATAGTATATTATTATATCCCATGTAATTAGTATATTAGTATATCGCTATTAACCTACTTCGCGTTGAATTTTCATCGATGTTAAGCCTAACAAAAATTTTTTAAAATAATAATCGTCGTTATCGTATCGTTAAAAATTAGAAAATGAAGCCTAGTTCCTTTCATGGTCGACCCAGTGTTGCCAGCTAAAACACGTAAAAATAATATTAAAGTAGCCAAGACATAGCCAAATATTGTAACGCCACATCACTAGCGGACATTTGAAATTTGCCGACTAGGACGGTCGGTTAACCGAGGTGTCGGTTAATCGGGGATCGGATAATCGAGGCTGTAATGTACTTTAATATTCAAACTTTCTTTCGGTATAGGTAACATTTATTTAATGCAATTTACTATATGTTCTTTACTATTTCTGTTAAACCTTTCATACACATAAAACAATTTATTTTATTCTTTATATTTTATTTTAAACAATTTTTATATGATTTTTATTTTCTATACAGTATTTTAATCACTGTAATAAATAAATTATAAATCTAAATCCAAAACACAGAGACATCTGTCGATGGGTAAACTAAAGCTCAAAAAATAACACAGAATAAGTACTGAGCTACTAATATACGATATATATATAATTAACAGTAAGTTTTAAGGCTTCAGTAAGTTAAATTATGACAGTTTTTTAATTGGTTTTTCAGTTTACAAATTTTTATAAATTATTTATAAATAGAGGAATAAAAATACTAAATAATTAAGTTAAATAATTTAGCTAATAAATATTATTTCTATTAGCTAATTTGTCAATAAACTAATCTCCCATATTAAAAGTTATTCAATTCATACCGGAATAATTCTTTTAAAAGTCACCCAATAAACATACGAGTATTTACGGGATAACTTCTCATATTTATACATTATACTGTATATTTATTTTTAGTTCTTACGCCCTATAATTTAAAATACACTTTATAATTTGATTGGATTGGATTGATGGGATAAGGCAACGTAACACGTGGGCGATCTACCAAGATGGAGTTGCATCCCGGGAGGACTTTCTATGGGATATTGGCTCCTCTCTTTAAATATTAGACACGTGAATAATACCCGGAAAGTTCCACGCGGCCATCTTGTTGGTCAGGAGCCAGTCAGTGACTTAATAATTTGAAATTTAATACTAAAAATTATATTTTACTATTAATTTTCGACTAAGTTATTGAAGTAAGACAATGAAGGAAAGCATTTTAAGCCATATTGTTTTATTCCTTTTGTTTTATTTAATACAAAAATGTTTTTTTTTTTTTTTACTGGTTTATTCTTCTGCGGAACGGGCATCGTTCGGAAGTTTCTTTAGAGATCAACAAACTGTAAAAGTGTAAAATAGCAAATTTATTACAGGTCTATTTAAGTAAAATATATATATATATATTATTTATTTATTTATTTTACAAAATATAAACATTAAAGACATTTTCGAATTAAACATTTGTTATTGTTTTAAACTAAACTTTGTGCTGTTTTTGAATGAAGATAACCTTGCTGAGGCAAATAACTTGAAGTTTTTTCTTAGTCAAGGTTGTTTAATGAATCTGTTTAAATAACCAAACAATGCATTGGCAAGATATCAGAGAAGATCTAATTGTTCGAAGGGAAAATAGACCTTGCAAATAATCGTTCATCCGAAAACATATGCAAAAGATGAAGCAGGAAAAAGAAATTCATTACTACTTTACGTACATTGCTCTTCATTTTTATATTATTTGGCAAACAAGTCGGAAATTTTAACTGATACTATATGCCTTATGGGGTGATATTCGATTGAATTAAGAACATTCAAACTTAGAATGTCTTTTTATACACAGTTGCTGATTCGAACTGAAATTGGATTAAATCCAAATCACCGACAGATTGAAAAGATGATTAAAACTTCTTAATATAGCTAATGTCAACAGAATTTTGTTATTTTATTACTATTTTAAAAATTTTCAAAGTTACTTCATATTACTTACCAAATATATATGAACTCCATCTTTATTTTCCAAGAACGATAAGGTAAAAAAATAAGGAGAAATTAGGGAATAATTGATGTTTCGAATAAGGTACGAAGGAAATTTATTAATGGCGATTAAAAGTAGGTTTGTTTTAACTATTTTCCGAAAAGGCATATATAAAATATTGAATAATAATCGTATAAAAAATTTTCTTGTATGGCCTCTTGTCGTTTTTTATTTTTGAATTTGTCGACTTAGAGCTAGAATCGATACTGCAAGCGAAATGCATGGTTTAAAAAAGACTGTAGTTAGTTTAATATCTACAGAGAAAGTATTCGTTAATTTTTAATAATAAATAAGATACAAACAAATCAATTTTCGATCAATATCATACGAACACTCCTGCAAATTTGATAATTAGTTATCAGACTGAGAGCTATGTTGAGTAAACGGGGGTGGTTTGTACGTTGCAGGAACGCCACAACTGGCATGGTGTTTTATGTAATCGTCGAATTTACCGGATTTTTTGTCTGGTTTGCTAACGGGTTGGAAACTGCTAACTTTTTCAACTGTGGGTTCAACGGGTGGCCATGTGGCTTTTCTGGGAGTTGAAGGGGAAACAAGAGGGGTCCTTCTTATAGAAGGAGGTGATGGCGAGGGATTCCAAGTCGTCGTCATTTTTCGTCCGAAAGTTGGAGATTGTGGGGTTTGTCTTCCTGAAGGAGGCCAGCTCTCATCGGAATCTTTAGAGGGTAATGACGGAGGCCATACCAGTCGTTTTCCTGTACCTAATAGGAAAAAATACATGAAAATTTTAATTGTAATAAGTTTTGAATGTAGTTAGAGTTTACTTACTAGTCGAAGTGAATCCACCTTTAGGCAAAGGTTTTACATTTGATTGCTGTACAGAAATAAATTTTACCATCAATCTCTTTATGATATCCCTAAGAATTGTCTAATAAAAATAGAATTACTTACTTTAGGAGGCCAAGCTGCTTGCATCCTTTTTCTGGTCGTGTTAGGTGTGGAAGCTGGAGATTCTGAAGATGAACGACCTGACTGAACTCGTCGAGATCTATGGCTCTGAGATGGTTGTATATGAAGTGTTGATATCTGTCTTTTATATTGTTGTGTTCCTTGTTGTTGCGTGTCACTTTGAGATTCATACATTCCCCTTTCACTTTGATAAACTGTACTTTGTTTAGTTTGTACTTCTTGAGTATAAGGTGAGGGTCCGTGTTTTTGTTTATAAATTTGTATGTTAGATTTGTATTGAGGTGTATTTAAGACTGCTTCTCCTTCCTTAGTTCCGAATTGAACTGTTGACGTTTGATGACCTTTTTGCATCTGCAAATTGGATTTATAATAAGGAGTATTTAAAACTGCTTCTCCCTCTTTAGTTCCGAACTGAACTGTCGATGTTTGATGACCTTTTTGCATCTGCAAATTGGATTTATAATAAGGAGTATTTAAGACAGCCTCTCCCTCCTTAGTTCCGAATTGAACTGCTTGATGAGATCTTTGCATTTGCAAATTAGATTTGTATTGAGGAGTATTTAGGACAGATTCTCCTTCTTTAGTTCCGAATTGAACTGTGTGATGAGATGTTTGCATTTGCAAATTAGATTTATATTGAGGAGTATTTAGGACAGCTTCTCCTTCTTTAGTTCCAAATTGAACTGCTTGATGAGATCTTTGCATTTGCAAATTAGATTTGTATTGAGGAGTATTTAAGACAGGCTCTCCCTCCTTAGTTCCGAATTGAACTGCTTGATGAGATCTTTGCATTTGCATATTAGATCTATATTGAGGCGTATTTAAAACTGGTTCACCCTGGCTAGTTCCGAATTGAACTGTTGTTTGGTGAGACCTTTGCATTTGTATATTGGATTTATATTGAGGAGTATTTAAGGCTGGTTCATTCTGATTAATTCCAAACTGAACCATCGTTGTCTGTCTATCTTTTTGCATTTGCATATTAGATTTATAATGAGGAGTATTTAATGCAGCTTCACCCTGATTAGTCCCGAACTGGACAGTTGATGTATGACGTTCATTTTGCATTTTCATATTAGATTTATACTGAGCCGTATTCAGCACTTCCTCATTCTGTTTCACTTGTGTTTGATATGTAGGAGAGCTGTGTCTATCCCTAAACATTTGCATATTTGATTTATAATGAGGAGTATTTAATAATTCTTCATTTTCTTTAAATTGAGGTTGCTGAAAAGACGGCGAATTTTGTCTCTCTTTTGTCTTTTGCATATTAGATTTATAATGAGCAGTATTCAAAATTTCCTCCGACTCTTTCACTTGGGGCTGTTGATAAGTGGGAGAGCTATGTCTTTCTTTGAACATTTGCATGTTAGCTTTGTAATGGGATGTATTTAGAACTTCTTCTCTTTGAGCGTCGGCTTGCTGCTGAGCATATCTTTCTCTTAACATTTGCATATTAGCTTTATATTCAGGTGTATTTAAAACTTCATCGCTCTCTTTAACTTGGGACTGATAATTGGGAGAACTCTGTCTTTCTCTAAACATCTGCATATTTGCTTTATAATGAGATGTATTTATAATATTTTCTTCTTGTACTTGAGGTTGTTGATTGGAAGGAGAACTGTGTCTTTCTCTGTACATCTGCATATTCGTTTTATACTGAGGAGTATTAATAATTTCTTCTTGCGTTTGATTTTGCTGTTGAGACATTGCTGTATATCGCTCTCTTAATTTTTGCATATTAGCTTTATATTCTGGAGTATTTAAAATTTCATCACTTTCTTTTACTTCAGGCTGTTGAGATGGTGGAGATACATATCTTTCTCTAAGCATTTTCATATTGGCTTTATACTGTGCAGTATTTAAAACGTCTTCATCCTCTTCTTGTGGTTGTTGGAAACTTGGAGAACTATGTCTCTCTCTAAACATCTGCATATTAGATTTATAATGAGCAGTATTTAAAACTTCTTCATTCTCCCTTACTTCAGGTTGTTGGTAACTTTGCTCACTATGTTTTTCTCTAAACATCTGCATATTGGATTTATAATGAGGGGTGTTCAAAACTTCCTCATTTTCTTTAATCTGTGAAAGTGGTTTAAAAGGCGAGCTATGCCTTTCTTGAAACATTTGTATGTTTGATTTATAATGCGATGTATTTAAAACATCATCTTTTTGTTGTATGTGTGGTTGATAAGGTTGGGGTCCATGTACTTGTCTGAATTTTTGCATATTAGATTTATAATGAGGAGTGTTTATGATGTTAGATTGATCTTGAGAAATATCTGTATTTTGCACAAAGTATGGTTGAGGAGAATAAATTTGTCTGTAAATAAAGTTTATATATATTAAAAATATAAAATAACATCAATTAGAACATTATTATAATCTATTATTACTTCATATTATTTTATAATATGAGAACAAACTTACTGTTGATTATCCGAAAGAGCTACTTCTGCATGTTGAGCCATAGTATCTGCTATATTTTCAGAAGAATATAATCCCATAGGGGAATTATATTGAGCATGAACAACAGCTTTTATAGTTGATGGTTCGTTCTGTCAAATCGAATATTAGTAAATTCTTTTAATAATGTTATTTATTTAATAAATAAATATACTACTTACCATCCCAATTGATTTCAAAATATCTTCTCTGTAAATAAAATATTAAAGTCAATTTTTATAGAAAATAAAGTATTTATATTAACTATTGAAAAACCTTATACTTTACCTTATAATAAATAATTCTAATCGACGAGAACTCTTTAATAAGATCTCTTCGACTTGAGCGTGTGTTAAATCTTGTATATTAACACGACCGATTTGAATTAATTCGTCTCCTTCGTGTAAACCAGCTCTTTCCGCTAAACTAGAGGATTCAACCTGTAAAATTTATCTGACATAAATCTTCAATATTTAAATTATAAAGTTCCTAGACAAGTATGCAATCGCTACTCTAACTGACTCGGCTAGCTACTATACATGCAGTATTCACTATTATTAGTTTACGTTGAATGGAAATGATGCCAGAAGTATACTTAGAACGACTAAAATACCGGTGCAGGGACTTTCGAGAATGTCATACGAATTTAACAAACTACAAATATAAAAACCAATATATAAAAATTTTATGTAATGATTACATTAATGCATTATAATTATCGATTTAATTATATTTAATCTATCGATGAATTAGATGAATGGCAATCTGTTTTCTTTGGAATCATCGCAACTTCTTGACACACCAGACTTAAGATGGATGCATTTACTAAGTTATAAAGTTCACATTCATCATTATTTTTCTTCCTCGATTTTAAACTATTTTTACCATAAAATTAAGTCCAAAAAAATCAGGCTGGAATTTTACATCAACAGCAGTAATATATAACACATTTAAGAAAAAGTTTGGCTGGTTTCCATTATAATATATAATAACCTTTTACATTTTTTCTTTTTTTTTTGCAATAAAATATAACGTATCTTCTTAATTTTAAAGTACATAAAACTAAGAATTAATTAATTTATAATTAATAATAACGATTTAACGTTAAAAAAAATTCATACTTACTTTATTACAAGATTATTAAAATTAATTTCAAATTTAATAATCGCTCAGTATGTAAATTAATGCAAAATATATCCTATGTATTAGAAATTGACGTAACAAATATTTGAGTTTTGTTAATGAGAAGTTTAATTTTGAGCCTTATCTCAATGAGTCATTCTTTACGTAAAGCTCACAAGACATTGTTTTTTGTTTTGTTTTATAAATAGACTCCCAGTCAGGGTCTTACTCTTGAAACTTAACCTCTTGTTTGTTTTTTTTTTCTCATCTGCTAAGCTGAAGATCAAGTTTAAAAGCATTGCTTACAGTAATGGTTGCTTTTTTTTTCTTTTAAAAAACTATATATATATATTTATCAATTAAATAAGCAATCTATTTGTTAAGTGTTAATGATAAAGCGTGTCGTCTATCTACAAAGCAAATTTAAAGCATCTCTTTTCTTTTTTCTAACAAACCTTCTGGACGTAATGAGGTTCTTCTTTATCTCTTCCTCCAGCCAATCTGAATCCCCATGGCTGGTTTGAATCTCTTTTCAATGCTATGAGAAATGGTCGTTGGAAAGACATATTCGCTATATTTCCGTTCGTTCGTGGTTTCGCCTTCTGATTCTAACTTAATATGAAAAGAAAGAAGACTCGCTTCTTCTAGCAACTGTGTCAGGGTGAATCATCTTTCCTAAATTATCAACGTGTCAGGTGTGAGACTGTGTTTTTGTAAGATATTATGTCATAAAATGTCCTTTGAAAACGTCGACAAAAATAATATGTCATATATACATTGACAAGAAACGTGTTTACAAATGAATTCGACGTTATTTTTAAAATTAAGACATTTTGTAATTTTACAAATGAGAATTATACGAGTTTCGTAAAGCGTAATAATCACAATATTCCTGTCGTATTTAATGTTATATAATTTATTTTAATTTGGAAATATTTTAATTACGTTAAACCAAACTACATACTTGACATTTAAATAGCTGTAAATGTGATTTGTCAATTATATCGTTCCATTAGAAAGTGCGTAAATGAAATTGCTTCATCACATTTATCTATTTTTAGGTAATTAGTTAACGAATGTACTTAGGAAATTCTTGAAACTGACCCATAATTTTTTTATTGTTTATTTAAAAAAAATAAAAATTAATACTATAATATTAGATTATTTGTATCTAATAAAGATGGTCTCACTATAATACTTGACTTATGGATAAAATTATAATCCAAATAATAAAACAGTCAACCTTATTGTTTATGCTTTGTTCTATTTTGAACTGTGTTTTTTTTTTCACAATTGTAGAATAAATCTATTAATAGAATACATAACTTTACTGGAGACACAGGAAAATATATAACTTTAATTCGTTTTTTTTTAAGGAAAAAATTCTTAATTTTACATTATAAATATTATTGAAAATGAAATATTTCCATTCTAACTTGGGGAAATAATTTCAGGAAGACAAAATTTATATTCTTTTGTTTTAAAAAAAGTTATTTATTCGAATTTTTCTATATTGATTAACACGTTAACAAGATAAAGATTAAATCGATGTTACTTTCTTAATTGTTAGAAATAAAATGAATACGTACCGGCAATACTTCAGCGGAGTTATAACTTCTTAACTCAGCTTTCTCACTAAAAATGACATCCTAAATTTCTTCTGATAGGTCTAAATCCTCGATTTTTGGCCCTCTGGGAAAATTTATCACGTATTCCTTCAAGGTTTTTTTTTTTATTGAAAATTTCCCAAACGAATACTATATTATTAGAATACATCAATATATTGTGAACGTTATTGGTAACATATTTTTCATTATATTTACTTATTAATTATATAAAAATATATTTTTATTTTCATTTTAATTTATAATTTTTCTTGAATAAATATTTTAAATATGCCATAAAATAATTCTATATTTTTCCAATGGAGTTTTTCAAAAAAAAGATTCTACTTTAAGAAATGAGCAGGTCTCTCTCTCTATATATATGTGAAACATAGAACAGAATTAGAAATTGCTATATTGACTAAGTACTGAGAAATGTTGAGTCAAAACTGCTTCAATCTTTAAATAATTTGTTTATATATAATCGAATTTCGAGTCTTTTAAATAATAATAATAATGTAAATAAATAATATAAACCTAATCAAATTCTATTAATTCATATATCAGTTGTTAATTTTTAAATGATGAACTTATAAAAGTCAAATAAGTGTTTATTTTTGTTCGAATATTTAATACTACTATATAAATAAATTAATTAATAATTGAATAAAAAATATATATAAGAATTTTAAAGGATAATTAAATAATTTGAATTAGTATAAAGAAAGCAAAAGTATATTTGGTTTATAAAAAAAAAATTAATAACATGATAATTTTAAATTACAGATGAGGATTAGGATTTACTTGATTCAGTATAGTGAGAAATAGTAGTCTATTTGTATTTTTGACATGAGAAATTACATTTCTTATGAGACTCATATTGGCTCTAAATATTTTGGGAATTTATATAATATTCTCCACTATCAAAAGTAAAATATGAATGAAGATTTATTGATGGCCTACTACACCTGTCCTTTATTTATATAGGTTAAAATATCAATAACATGTCTTTCTTTTAGTCTCCATGTCATCACTAATCACTATCACTGTCAATATCTAATAATACTGTCTGTATTCTTCATCTTAAATTTACCTATTTTATTTGTCAACCTCTAAATCATCATCTCTAAGTTATTATGTGTCTGTAAATATGTTGAATATGTTGTCTAAATAGTTGAAATTTCCTTTTTCCTCTAACAGTCTATATTTGAAATCAAAGAACTAAATCTACTGACTTTTAATTTCCTTTTCTAACCTGTTCCTAACTTATTTTGGCTCAACTTTAAGCTCTCTCTATCTCATTAATAAACACACTATAAATTGTGAATAACAGATATCATAGCTATTTTTTTTTTTACTGCAAACTACAATAATTCACCTAATAAATAAATAAAATATATGAGCTTAACCTTATTAAAACCGAGACAATTTCATGTCTATCTACAAAGCAAATTTAAAGCATCTCTTTTCTTTTTTCTAACAAACCTTCTGGACGTAATGAGGTTCTTCTTTATCTCTTCCTCCAGCCAATCTGAATCCCCATGGCTGGTTTGAATCTCTTTTCAATGCTATGAGAAATGGTCGTTGGAAAGACATATTCGCTATATTTCCGTTCGTTCGTGGTTTCGCCTTCTGATTCTAACTTAATATGAAAAGAAAGAAGACTCGCTTCTTCTAGCAACTGTGTCAGGGTGAATCATCTTTCCTAAATTATCAACGTGTCAGGTGTGAGACTGTGTTTTTGTAAGATATTATGTCATAAAATGTCCTTTGAAAACGTCGACAAAAATAATATGTCATATATACATTGACAAGAAACGTGTTTACAAATGAATTCGACGTTATTTTTAAAATTAAGACATTTTGTAATTTTACAAATGAGAATTATACGAGTTTCGTAAAGCGTAATAATCACAATNACTTCATTGCAGGTTCAAACACAAAACGTGCTGATATCCAAAGTTGCAAAAAGTTTCTGAATTTTATATTTCACTGATTTTCCTAAAAATTATGTTACTGTCAGATGCAAAAATCAGATTGGACAAATTTGGGCATTTTTACTTAAACTTTTAATTTTTTCTACATAGTAAGTTTATCTACAATCTCTGATATTTTCATATAAATAATTATACTTTAGCTCATTTGCAGCACAATGTGGCAATGTGCAGAATGAACTGACCTTGTGGGCCTAATCCGGCCTGCGGGCCATAGTTTACAAATAATTACAAATGATTAGCAACATGTATAAATTTGTCTATCAATTTAATATTGTTATATAAATTTTAGACAGCTTACAAAAATTAATAAACAGATTTTGAAAATAGAAGTCATAAGTTTTAAACTTTCAGAATATTGCATTTAAAACAAAATTTTACTTTTAATTAAAAAATAATTTATTCATTACTCTAAATATCTTTTTAAAATATAAAGTATAAATGGAACATTCAGTCATTTCTTTACCACAATATTTACTTTAATTCCAATACTCAGAAAAAACTGATAAAAACATATCAATTAGTTCTATTTTTATGTATTAAGTAATACATATAAATATAAAATGTAAATTTAGAAATTGGCATTTTATATTTATTAATATTTAATTATTTTTTTACAAAGGCATTTGTATTTTGTTAAGCATCACTTAATTTTAAATCTAATTCCACTCAAATTTTTAATGGTATGTTTATTAGTACTTTAGCAATAATCTATAAAAGTAGATAATAATTTTACAAATAATTACATTATATTTGTATTATAATGAATCATAATTATATTTTATAAACAATAATTAAATTTAAACTTATAAAAAAATACTTAAAAGTAAAAATATATATATGTTTACTTTATATGGTGAAATATCAGTAACTACTGGAAAAGCAAGTAATCCCATCACATGCTGAACATCTTTCAACTGATCATCTTCTAGATTTGTAAAATATTTTCTTGCATGTCTGATTGAATAAAAGAATTTAAAAAATTATGATATATTACTCTAGGAATAATAATATTTATATTGTTATTATAATTATGTTCATATATAATAAATATTGATAGTTTTTACAAATCTAAATAATAAAAATAATCAAGGATTTAACAGCATCAAGGAGTTAAGATTTATACAGTATAGTGTTTTCAAAAATAATTGTTAGAAAAGTTAAAACTATAATATACCGTGTTTCCCCGATAATAAGACATCAGCAGAAAATAAGACCTAGCACAGGTTTTGCTGAATTGCGAAATATAAGACCTCCCCCTGAAAGTAAGACTTAGCGAAGTTTTTTCTAGTCGTAACGGTCATGGACAGATGGTTGAAAGTGGCCGTTGACTTTTTGAAAGTACAGTCACTGATTGGTCAACACACAATTACGCCACACGGCATGATTTGCATAAGACTATGGCTTGAGAATCACAGATTTGCATAACGTTATGGCTGGTGATGGCTAATTGGTCGGCCGGGAATCACGCCACATGACATTTGCATAGTGCTACGGTTCAGTAAGCACTAATTGGTCATCGAGTCCGATGTTGACGCTATAAAAAGGCGACAGTTGGACACACCGGATATACGTTACTCTCGTCTAAGTTCGATTTAGGAATTTTTTTGTTCAATAATAAATGTGAATTCTTCTTCTTGGAAAAAATAAGACATTCCCTGAAAATAAGACCTAGTGCATTTTTCAGAGCAAAAATTAATATAAGACACTGTCTTATTTTCGGGGAAACACGGTACATGAATAATTTGTTTTATGCCACTTCAGTTTAATTCCACTTCATTTTTGCACTTCTCACAGATAGTGATTGAATGAGTCCTGACTATGCCTAAGCCAAACTGATCCTACTACCTTTCTTGATGACCACTTCTATTCTCCAGTCCCTTTAAAAAGTGTTTTCTTTTTTCCTCCTAGTTGCTCTTAGTTTTTATAGGTGCTTATTATGTGCTCTTCTTTTTATTAATATACTATTTTTAAGACAACTAGATAACTAGTCTAGACAAGAAACTAAAAAGCAACATAAATCATTGACAATCAAAAAAAAAAAAAGGAAGTATTTGGCAAATAGAGAAAGTTGAAACTCAAACTAGACATCTATTTTTCAGTTTTAAGCAGGAAATTTTCTCTTTCTTTTTCTCAAACATTAAACAATCTTCAATATATAAATTTCATAAAATATTTTCCAAGTATTTTGTGGCAATTATTAAAAATAATGAAATAAAATGTAATGCATTTACATATGTTCTCATTATGTTTTTGTTTTCAATTTACAATGGGAATCTCAGGAACTTAAATGGCATAAACCAAGTCATACCTGTACTGTACATGCAATGTAAACTACATTGTTTTAGTATTTAGAAAAATACAATTTTAACACAGTCTTAGTATATTACAAGCAACATAATTAGACACTAGTGTAATAATATTTCTTTAAATGCACTTTATTATCTAAAATATTTAAGATTGCTTTTTAAAATTCTTCTGATATTGATAGCTTGTAATTATTACATATGAAAATGGATTTTTGTTATCCTACAAAAATTTTGACAGCATTTTCTAATCTAGAATGATTATCTTCTCTATATATATGAAAGAATGCTTAATTATGTTTTTAAAATATTTAATTCTGATATAAGCTTTTTAATAATTTTAAATATCACTTTTGATCAATGATCCTAAACAAAACAGAACTCTATATTTTAACTGTATTTTCTTGACATTACATTACATTAAATTTTAAAAAATTCATTGTCTTTCCAAAAAAGGAAGTTGGATAATAAGCTTTCATCAATTAAAAACAGAGATGAAATTTGTTTAACATATTCTAGTGCTATTATTTATATTAGTCTTACAGTATATTAGTCTTATTTATGTAGAAAATATTATCTACAATATAATCTTTATGCATCAAACATTAATATAATGTAATAAAATATTATACTAACATTATAAAAATATTATCTGCACCATAAATAATTNTTTTATTGCAAACTACAATAATTCACCTAATAAATAAATAAAATATATGAGCTTAACCTTATTAAAACCGAGACAATTTCATATATTAAAAGAATTTCGAATGTTTACAGCTGAATCTCCATATACTCAAGCCAAATTTACGCCGCGAAGCGATTGAAGCACCCGAAGCGGGAGAAACATTTATTACGCCACTATCGTAGCATTAGAGCTTTTGGCAGCTCAATGACCAATATGTCTATCGACTCTGTTTTTTAATAACTAGCAAATATGTCCAGCATTGCCCGGTGAAAAAGTAAAAAGAATAAACATTAAAATGAAAACCATATTAAAAGTTAAAACTTTGATTTAGTCAACCATTGTTATGTTTATCACGAAATGTCAAGGAGATAAAATCAGAAGAGGAGCGTAATTCGCATGGTACAGCGCTCGCTTTGCATGCATAAATCGATACTCGAAATCTCCATTTAATAGTATTTTTCTTTTTCCTCTAAGCTTCGTCATACCTGGAGACGTGGTACTCTGCTACCGACTTTATATGGACGAGGGGTGTCCAGGGTTTCACGATAATCTATATTTATCACATAGTCCCACAGAGTAAGCAAGAAGAATTTGGACTGATCGACCAAAAAAACTAAGACAAATTATTTTCCGAAATTAGGATTTGTTATTATTTCAGTACATTCGAAAGAAATGTCACTGGATAAATATGTTGACGATTATAAGAGAACGAAAACACTATAATCAGTTCTCTAAAATTTCATGCATTCTTCTACAAGAAATAGTTCGCAAAAGTAAATACTCCCTAACAATTGTTTCCGGGACTAAATTTATAACAGTTAATGGAAGTTTAGATAGATTGTTATTAGGACACTGCTGTTACTTTTACAATGAAACAACGCGAAAGTCTACATTTTGAAGTGTACAATGACGAGGTGGCCGCTTTACTTCGTTTTAAGCACGCAGTTACAATACAGCAATACAATCATATTTTTCTTCTTGTAAAAGTCAATGTTTTTTTTTTCTTTTTTTTTTTTTTGGTTTTGAAGAGGGAAGAGATAGACATGAAGGTTTTGGTGAGGATTTCTGGTGGTACACGAAATGCCATGAAAAAGGAAGAGGGAAAATTCCAAAATTTATGGCGTGGTATATGGATGACACCTAATTGATAACGCGTGATTAAGTTAGGGGACATCCATAAACCGTGGAAAAGAGTGGAACCTCGTGGAAATGATTTCACTGCTTTTTTCCGGGGTCCATCCCACAATAATCTTGGTATTCTTTTTAACTCATATATCCACAAATACGCATAACTTACCAGCTTAATATTTTTTCTTCTCAATTTCATTAAAATAACAACGTTCTTTCCCATTTTTAAAAACACGTCTCTAAACTTACTCAGAAGACTTGTTTTTTACAAATTCATCGGCATATTCAGCCATGCCTACAATCGGGGGAGAAATTTCCAACATATCTGGGTCTTCTCGTCAAACTTTCTGAACTAACACGAACTCGAACCCAGAACAGAGTTCGGGCCGCACAATGCTAAATAAGAAATCTAATTGGACGGAGCAAAGAATTCTTTCGTGTATCTTTGAATGGTAATCAGCGAGTCGTGTTTAAAATGGAAGAGTTAAAATGATTTATTCGTTCATTGTAATCATAATGACTCAAGACCAATTTAACACTTGTGTATTCAAGAAACAATTTGTTGAGAAAACTAATCAAAATGAAGATCGAGAAAATTTAGTTATTTATACAGTATAATAGGCCTATAAGTAAAATCCAGGAAATATTCGGCTAGGCCCACAATGAGACGGCCGGATCACCGCCGAAAGTTTATTATTTTTTTCCGACCCCCGGGATTCGATTCCTGATTTATTTTAGCTTCACTCGTATAAGGTAACTCGACAATTGGGCGATCTTCCGAAGAGAGGATGCATTCCGGAAGGTCTTTTATGAGAAACTGTCCCTATTTAGGTGTTATCAACGTGAAAACCCGGAAAACTCCACGTGGCCAGCCCGTTGGCCAGGCGCGAATAGATTCCTGGTACAGTGCCTAGATCGATAGGTACCGTACCATAAATTTGTAGCATTAAAAGTTTACCTCTATGTATCAGAATTTTCTCTATAATGTCATATTGTAAACCATATTTTACCTTAAGATTTTATAACAATCTTAATACAATTAGTTTGGAATAAATAATAATTCACTTTGTAAATTTTCAAAATATCATATAAAAGAAAAATTATTCTCCGTGAAAGTTCTTTAAAGAAGCATACAGTATTTATTTCACAAGTCATTTATAAAGCTTCATATTAATCATTATGATACTTTGATTTTAATTACATTTAATTATATTTGCAAATAACTTAGTTTCAAAAGCAGTTTTTCTACAAGATTATTCATAATTTCTATTGAAGAATAAGTCAAATTCAATATATATATATTTTACTAGATTATTCCTGATAGAAAAGTGAGTTGAACATGTGTAAAGTTCACGTTGTCACAATTATAACTACACTCTGACCATTTTTATTTACATTACGAATACTTTCTCAGCTTCTTTAATATCAAATACTTCTTTTGTTCTAGGACAAATAACCTTTCCATTATGTTCGGCAGCCATTTGTTTAGTTGACTGAAAAAAAATATTAAATTGTCAATTATATATTATAATAAGTTTGAATTCAACACAAATTCAAAAATAAAAAGATCATTTCATCCAATTGTTTTCTTATTCATAATATAAACAAAATTGACAAATTTATGAGTTGTTTGACTGCTATAATAATTAAATTCTTTGTATAAAATATATGAAAAATAAATAAGGTTTGTTTATGTGCTGAATACAATAAATAGCAGTTAGCTAATGCTTGGATCTTAAATATTAAACAGTAAAACTTCTAAAAGATCTACAAAATGAACACACCTCTTAAGACCACTTTTGTCTGGAATGGAGCACCAAGTCACCTCTTTTGTGCAAAGTAGAGGAGGAATTTCAAAAGGTAATTGTATAATAAAAAATGTCATGCTTAAACTGAGCAAAAATTAATGAGTTTTTCCATTCGCAATAATAAAATAAATTAAAATATAGTATCATTAAAGTATGGTGTTTTATTTGATCTAACAAAAAACTTTTCCAAAGTGACCTTCTCTCATAAAGACTATTTTTGCTTGAAAACTATTGGTGGTCAACAAAGTAGGGGTTTTTACTGTAATTTTATTAATTTTTTTTATATAATCATTGTAAATGTTAACTAACGCTCTATTTATAATATGCAGATATAAACAAAACTTTATATTAGTGTTTTTAATTAAAATAATATAGCTTTTTAAATAGTTTTTATGTTCCAATTGGTAGAATATATATTTTTTATTATATATGTTTAGTTAAATGTGTCTTCAAGACAGTTGTAAATATGAATTAATATACTTGTTATTCATTATTGTTATTTTCAAAATTTTTACTGAATATTAACTGGACACAATAAAATTTTACATATGTTAACTGAAAAATAATATTAAGTTGCTTCAATATCAATTAATACTCGCGGCAACACTGTTATATGGTTCAATAGAATTACTGAACTCTATATCTTGGCAAAATGTTGATTAACAAAAATTATTATTATTATTATTGATTTATGTTTGTTTTTAATTTTTGTTAATTTATTAATCCATTTAAACTGATGGGAGAAGAAATAAAACAGATTTATATTGAACATTTTTCAACCTTTCTCACACTAAAATTTTTTGTCAACATTTTTTATTAAGTGTCTACTGCTAAGAAATATGCACAATTGTCCTGAATCTGAAATTTACACTTTAAAGTTCTTGTTCTTGCAACAATGTAATCCTAATTTATTTTGGTAACCATTGAGCAAGCACTATTTGTATATTTAATTTGTGATGGGAAGCATCAATTTCCATAGATAACATTATTGAGTGAATGCAATTTTTGTGTTTTGATTCATTTACATTGAAGTAAATCAATTAATTTTAAGTTGGACCAAGGCATATAAAGTAACTAAAGTACTTTGCAAAATGTAATACACTGTGCTGAAATTTATCATAGGATAAGAATAATACTAAAGCAATATTTTTATTACCAAAAATATATATAAGAAATTAAAATGTCTTCACACTTTAGTCATGTACAATCATCAAAAATAGCCTTCCTTTACAGAGATGACCTTTTATTACAGGCTGTGCCTCTGTAAAATTATGTAAAACAGTATAAAATGTCTTCTAACCATTTTTTTACATAAATTATCAGATGGCTCCTTAGTTTTAAATGTTATTGCTGGAAAATTTATGCAACTCTATGCTGGTTTTTTGAAGATGTTATCCAATTACCTTAGAATGCTCTTACCTAACTTTTCAGATCATTGTTTTTCATTAGCTTTTTAAAATTGTTAAATGGGAAATGGATAATTTTGAATTGATACATTGATTATAAATTATACAAATTACAGTATGATTCATACACACCACAGTTTCAAAAGGAGGAATCTTTTGGTTATTTTAGTTGAAACTGTGTATTTTTTTAATTATTGGCTTATCACCAGAGGATGTTTTAAAAAACTGTTTTACATAACTTCACAGAAGTTTAGCCTCTAATAAAAGGTCATCTCTTAAAGCAGTGATTTTCAAATGGTGTGACATGAAAGAACCCTGCAAAAATTTTTTAAAGGTTATTAAATAAACCATTTTGGAAAGAAGCCCAAAAAACAATAAGTGTACATGTCAAAATTAAAACCTCTTTAAATTGATTATATGCGTTTTTCATTGTTATAATGAATAAACATATACATAGAGTAGTAAAAAATATATAGGCCTATTCATAAGCAAAATTATATGAGCACAACACCGGGTTATTTCATTTTGAATAAAATTTTCTTTAAATCAAAAATTTATCTATAACTACCCACATTTTTTTTCAAATTCTTTTTAACATAGAAATAGCGGAACATTGGGCAGGTTTCTAAAGACAATTATCATGCTACTATTAAATGCAAATTAAGACTTAATGTTAATTGCTTTTCTGATATGAATGAAAATTATTAATTTAAATAGCTATTATTGTAACCTACTGCTATTTTAAGAAACAACAATACTGTTATATTTAATTTACAAAAAATATAAATAAAAAGAATTAGGTTAAGTGGCAAGTAATATGGTGATAGAATGTTTACAAACAACTTTAGATCACAAGATTTTTTCCGCAGAAATTTGTGTCACGGAAATTTAATTATAGGTTCAAGTGCGCCTTGAGATAAAAACAGTTGAAAAACTCTGTCTTGAAGGAAGACTGTTTGTTCCTGGTGATTGGACATGATGGAGGTTTGAAGACATTTTAGTTTCTTCTATATATTTTTAATGTAAAAAGGTGCTATCAACCATTTTAAATGAAACTAAGTATTTTTCTTATCATGTGATAAATCTCAACACAGTGTATTTAAACAAAAACATGTAAAATTTCAATAAAATTAATGTTTTGTTTATTTGTTTGGATTTTATCAAACAAAACAAAAAAAATCTAAATGGCATGGTTTTCATTGGTAGAACATGCATTTCTATTGCAAATTTATTTAAATTTAGATTAATCCTAAAAGAATCTGTTAAATTTCAAGTTTGCATAAAATTTCAAATGTAGAAACAGGGATAAAAACTTCAGAAGACAGCTTAATTAGAAAATTGCTTAAGTAAAAAATTAATATGCTTATACATTGAAAAATGAGACAAAAAGAGATGAAACCTATCAATTTTAGTTTCTTGAATGTAAGTGAATTGAAAGAATTATAATTAATTTAATAGTTAATCACAACCATTAAAATTTAACAGTTTGTTCTAAGAACAACTTGAATTTGAATGTTAATTGCTACACGAAATACACATTCTACATGTTCTAGCAGTTTGTGTAGAGCTAACAATGTATAGACATAAGATATATTATATTATTTAAGTATTATTTTCTTATTATATTGTTAAAAAATTATTCCATACTTTATTTACCATGGCATTCAATGTTTTTAATTATAAAATTGATAATTTTAAATAAAAATTATTATTAACTTCTTGTTAATATTAATTATACTATTTGAAACTGATATAGTATATATCAAAAAACAAAATTAAAAATTAAATAAAATATTACTTACAGCTTCCCCATAAACATAACCATTAGGCAACATCAAAGGATGATTATGTTCATTTAAAGGTTGTCCAGAAATGTAACATACAAGACGAGATTGAGAGCAATGAGCATATGGAAGAGATTGGGCCAAAACATTTAAAGAGGGACTACAAATAGGACAATCAGAATTTCTTTCACCTTCAGGCTTGTAGCAATGACTTACAAGAATTAAAGAACATTTCAATAGATCAAATTTAATTACTATTATAATTTAAAAATTAATCATTTTGATTTAAAAAAAAAGGATACGGAGTTTTAAGAGCAGATAATCCTGCCTGAAGAGCAACCGAAAATACTGAAAAATTACTAAGTTGATATAATTTAAAATTTTCCTGACGAAATTGTTGAACTAAAGTATCCCATCTAGATTCTTCTAGCAATTCCTATATTAAAAAAATAAAAGTTACTTAGAATATTAGATTAACTTTCTTAGTAATTAAAATATTCTTTGTATTACATTTGTTTTATATGTCAATAAAAATCTATTTATAACAAATTGTAGCTGTTTCAGTTATATAATACAGGGTGGGCCAACGAAAACGAAATGGCAGAGTTATCGTGTTCGTCCAAGCAAATCGCTTGGACCACGATAACTCTGCCATTTCGTTTTCGTTGTCTCACCCTGTATTGTACAGTTTTAATTGTAGATATATAATACTGTGAAATTTAATGATATAGACAATATATATCCTATCTTTTCTGAATTTTCTAATGGTAGTTGTTTAATATGTTGATTAAGTAACATCTCTTCAATCTGAAAAAAAAAAAAAAATCTTCCAGTTGTTGCACATTCAAAAACTAATTCTAGAAATGTCAGTGCATTCTATCAAACTTACATCTTAACTGCTGGAATCTGACAGCATATAGATTTCCATTAAATATGAAAATTTGGATTATTATTTCTACTATATTATTTTTTGAAAATTTTCATCAACAGATCATCAGACTAATCATCTGATTTATATTCAATAAATTTTGTTTTTTAACATTTTTGGGATAAGATCGTGTATGTGGGTTCCCAGATGAGGTTCGTACTCGAGTAAACTGAAATTCTTGCGTGACACAAGATGTAAACAACGAGACTCTGAACTGTTCGAGTATGTGTCAAACTATCTGTCAAGGTCTTAGCGGAAGATAAACTCTAATACGAGTGCTCATAAATAGGTAGATCATTGACTTGCGAGTCTATAAAATATTGGCTGAGATAAAACTTTCGAACAAAAAAAAAAAGGGGAAATTTTTGATAGATGAAAGATGAAAATGATCGTTAAATTCTTAGACGTCAAAAACTGGTAAACAACGGCCTGAGTTATGAGTGCAGGTGTTATTGTTTTATAAACAGTCATCAAGCAGAGTCGACAAAGAGGTATCAGATGGACACCTCGAATCGGACCTTTCCCACAACCCGAAAATATTTTGTCTTGCACCTGGAGACAAAGGAGAGACCAATAGGGAAGCGAGGAATGAGACGAGGGACCAATCCGAAATGCAAATAGCGAGGGAAAAACAATAAAAATCAGAACTTTAAGGTCGAAAAGAGAGTCTCCTCTGGATTAAGCCTACAGTTATGCTTTATCTATTGTGTTGTGCTACCGCCGATCACCTAGGACACTGCAGCTTAACACCGAACATCTGCATCGTCCAGTGATCCTTCTCATCCACCCAGACTATGACTGATCACCCGAACTCTCACCATTTCATAGGAACACCAAGATTTTGGAATTGTCCAATATCAATATAAGCATGAATTCAAACAAATAAATGGGTTTTCTCTTGTAAAACACTTGTTCTTCATTTGCCTCCTTCGCCACCACCCACATACTCGGTTTCCCTTAGGCTCAATTCTGACACAGGATAAACTGTACCCCCCTTTAAGTCAGCAAAACTTACATGTATAAATGCGATTCCTGCCTTTCTATTTTTAAACTTGTAATGGTCGCCGTCGCGAAAAGACAGTTAAGGAAGCGACCATGGGATTTTGAATGCGTGATTGCTGATTGGTTGAAGATCACACCACTCTACATATTTGTGTAGTGCTACAACTGGTAACTGTTGATTGGGCAACAGGGAAACATGCCATACGATATATTTGCATAGTGCTATGGCTTGGTAAGCACTGACTGATCATCTAGCCTGCTGTCGAAGGCTATAAAAAGGTTAATGTCAAAGCAGGAGATTTAAGTTCGGCTTAGGACTTCACGTCGGAAGCAAGTTCACTTCAACATGAGAACTTCAGGAAGTTCGCTTCAGAAGTTTAGGGTATACATCAGTTTCGTCTAAGTTCAGTTTGGAACTTCAAGTGTGCCTCAAAGTTCGAGTCAAGTCTGGATTCTCTCGCTGTCTGTTCTTTAACCACCAGAAGAAGGATACTTCTAGCCAACAACTCATTGATTTGTCGTAAGGTGTCTTCTTGATGGACTAATTCAACATATTAAACTATCTGAACTTTGTTAATGTAATTGGTGCAATGACTTGGTCACCAATTGTGTGAACTACGAACATTGTAAACTTCACTAACATTTAAATTAAACTGTACTTACATATATGTTTGGAGAAATCAGTCGAAGTTGAAGACTCTGTGCTTCTTGTAATTTTCCTTCTAAAAATAGTTTGTGTAAATTGCATAATGGTTCACCTAAAGGATTGGCCAAAGCAAATATACCACCTACACATCCTGATAACAAAAAAGAAAAAAACTGATATTAGGATACTGAAACAGAATTATTAAATATTATGCAGTGCTTTATCATTTGTAAGAGTTTCAAAATTATAGTTTGTTTCTGATGGAAAGATATCACATTTTACAGAAACATATATTATAAACATAAGAATATCATAATAATTTGAAATCACAGATATCATCTCAAATTTAATCCAAATCAATCTAGAATTTAACTAGTACAATAGAACCCAATTATCCAAGGTAATTTGGACAATGCTACCTCAGATAACTGAAAACTCAGATAAAATAAACAGTCATGGCACTTTGGATTTAAAATTACAAATGTAAAAGACTTATAAGCATCTTAAATACTTTAAGCCTCTTTTTATAACTTAATGAATTTAATTATATGTAAGAACAATGTTTTTTACATCATTTATTATAAGTTAATACATACTGTACAATAAAAAATGTGTATTATTGTAGTTACATATTAATAAGAATGGTTTGTCTCACATAAAAGGTAACAAAAACATAAACATAAGCCCAACAGTTATATTAAAGCCAAATGAATGCAGGATTTGGGCTATATTACTACTATTAATTAATAACTAAGTACTGAGTAATTTGGCACTAGAAGTAGGCATTGAGTGCCATCTTTTATTAAATTTAATAATTATAATTAAATTAAAATTTATNAGCACTAATTGATCATCGAGTCCGATGTTGACGCTATAAAAAGGCGACAGTTGGACACACCGGATATACGTTACTCTCGTCTAAGTTCGATTTAGGAATTTTTTTGTTCAATAATAAATGTGAATTCTTCTTCTTGGAAAAAATAAGACATTCCCTGAAAATAAGACCTAGTGCATTTTTCAGAGCAAAAATTAATATAAGACACTGTCTTATTTTCGGGGAAACACGGTACATGAATAATTTGTTTTATGCCACTTCAGTTTAATTCCACTTCATTTTTGCACTTCTCACAGATAGTGATTGAATGAGTCCTGACTATGCCTAAGCCAAACTGATCCTACTACCTTTCTTGATGACCACTTCTATTCTCCAGTCCCTTTAAAAAGTGTTTTCTTTTTTCCTCCTAGTTGCTCTTAGTTTTTATAGGTGCTTATTATGTGCTCTTCTTTTTATTAATATACTATTTTTAAGACAACTAGATAACTAGTCTAGACAAGAAACTAAAAAGCAACATAAATCATTGACAATCAAAAAAAAAAAAAGGAAGTATTTGGCAAATAGAGAAAGTTGAAACTCAAACTAGACATCTATTTTTCAGTTTTAAGCAGGAAATTTTCTCTTTCTTTTTCTCAAACATTAAACAATCTTCAATATATAAATTTCATAAAATATTTTCCAAGTATTTTGTGGCAATTATTAAAAATAATGAAATAAAATGTAATGCATTTACATATGTTCTCATTATGTTTTTGTTTTCAATTTACAATGGGAATCTCAGGAACTTAAATGGCATAAACCAAGTCATACCTGTACTGTACATGCAATGTAAACTACATTGTTTTAGTATTTAGAAAAATACAATTTTAACACAGTCTTAGTATATTACAAGCAACATAATTAGACACTAGTGTAATAATATTTCTTTAAATGCACTTTATTATCTAAAATATTTAAGATTGCTTTTTAAAATTCTTCTGATATTGATAGCTTGTAATTATTACATATGAAAATGGATTTTTGTTATCCTACAAAAATTTTGACAGCATTTTCTAATCTAGAATGATTATCTTCTCTATATATATGAAAGAATGCTTAATTATGTTTTTAAAATATTTAATTCTGATATAAGCTTTTTAATAATTTTAAATATCACTTTTGATCAATGATCCTAAACAAAACAGAACTCTATATTTTAACTGTATTTTCTTGACATTACATTACATTAAATTTTAAAAAATTCATTGTCTTTCCAAAAAAGGAAGTTGGATAATAAGCTTTCATCAATTAAAAACAGAGATGAAATTTGTTTAACATATTCTAGTGCTATTATTTATATTAGTCTTACAGTATATTAGTCTTATTTATGTAGAAAATATTATCTACAATATAATCTTTATGCATCAAACATTAATATAATGTAATAAAATATTATACTAACATTATAAAAATATTATCTGCACCATAAATAATTATAAAAGTGAAAGAAACAGAAAATCTGTAAGGCAATATAATTCCTACAGTTCTGAATTATCAGAGATTCATCAATGATTGAAGCATTATATTACAGATTTGAAATGATATGTATTAAAAAATTAGATTCCTCTTTAACCTAATGTTAGGCATATAATTGCTTATATTTATTGTATTTGAAGAAATAAAATATGAAATTTTATGAACTAACAACAAACTCAAGTCAGTAACAATTATTTTTCAAAATTAATAATTCTTTCTAACATTTAAATTTATTATTGCTATTTTCTTCTTTTCAACAGATATTAAAGTTATTCAACTTCTTACAATTAATAAATAAATTATATTTTTATATAATATTTTAATGAATAAAATTTATGATGTTATTTTTTGTGATTTCATTATCAATCCCTAACTTGCTGTTCATAACTTTCTGTTCAAAATTAATTCATAAATTAAAAAAAAAATCACACAGTACATATTTAGTAAATTTAATATAAAAAATCCCATTATTGTAAAAAGAGATAACATAGTGTTTATATCTTTTAAAACCTTACAAAAGTTTAAGCAAAATCAATTTCTGATTTTTGTTTAAAAATCATTAAAATAAAAGAATTGATATATTTGGCTTAAATTTAATAAAATATACTTTCTGCATTAAATTTTTGTAAAATATCAAAAATTTACAAAAGCTTGGTAAGTACAACAAAAGCACAGTATAATTTGTAAAACAAATGTCTCATTTTATTCATAAAGTAAGTTGTATAATAATAAATTTAATTTACTATATTATACTTTAAACAGTAAATTAAAATGTTGTAACAAAAATTTCATTTTTGTTTGTTTATTTACATTAATAATGTCATTTTCCAAAAATATTTTACTATTTGGGTTTTTGAATAAATTTGTGTGTTTGTATAAATTTATTATAAAATAAAAACATTCAAACCAACAATTGATGACAATTTTTGGATCAGCTGACCTGAATTCTCAAAAGTCAGCTCCAGAGTCCGTTGAATGATTTTGGGCATCCTGACAACTTGAACCTTTGAGTGAATTTTCCTCATCGGTGTTGTAAAATCTTTGTTGGACTTCTCTGACTCATTGTACTTTGTGACGACATCATATACAGTCAATCTCAGGCACCCAAAGAACCGAATGATTTCTGTCATTAAGCGTCCAGCGTGAACACTTTCGATAATCATGGCTCTTTGGTTATACTCCACACTTCATTTCAACATTACGACTGTTTCAAGGTTATGATAATTTAGTACATGTGTCAAGATATTTGAATGCCAAACATTACATCTACCGGTGGTATAGAACAGCAGGAATTTGAAATTGAATTTTGTCCAGATTTTGGTGCCACATCTTGTAGAAATAATTTTAATAATAATAATGCTAATTTTACTTATCATCATTATAAATTGAAAAATATATTTTCAAATTATCATAGCTGTTATCAAAGACAAAAGTAATTAGCAAAGAAAAGTTGAGTTTTTGAGTATTGCCACAAAACTACATTAAGATAGCTTACATAATAACACAATAATCTAGTTTGCAAAGTAATATAATTTCACATCTATTATCAGAAGTTAAATTTTTGTATGATCACTACACATTGATATGCTTTTTGAATTTGTTATTTATACATTAACAGACATTTTTCTTGAACAGAATACTAATTGTTAAATTTTCATTAACAATATCCGAATTTTATTACTTACTTTACAGCATCAATCCTATGATCCTTTCTCACTAATTCTATAAATTCCTGTTGCCGGAGGTTAAATTCTAAAGAACTCTAAATAAAAAATAATAAAAAACTGAATTAAAAATTTATCAATTGTTAAAATATCACACAAATAAATTCAAAATCTTTATCAGAAAACCCTGATATTTATAATTTATCTGATAAAAAATTATACAAGTTCTAAATTACATTTAAGATGTTTTATATAAATATAAAATAAAACTTTTAATAATTTTTATCTTATGTACAGAATTTTAAAAACATCATTGGAATTTTTATTAGACATTTGCATTTCATGTCCTAAATAATTAATAATATATTGGCATGCTATGTGAGACAGTACATATAGCTTTAATTTTTGTTTCAAATAGTTGTTTTTTTGAATATATTAAATTTCAATTATTTCAAAATTTACTAATCATTATTATTATTAACAAATGAGAACACACAGCTGATCCAAATTAATAGAACATTAATTAATTTAATTAGTTTATTTTTGACACTATTTTTAACATTTGAATTATTGATCAATAATTTTGCTTGGAAGAAACCCCTGTGAAGATTTTTACTGAAACACCCTTCATTCAGATATATAATAAAAACAGTAATAATATGGTAATGTAGGTAATTTTTATGTTTTAATAAAATATTGTATAAACTTATAAAGCATGAAAAATTATATAATATATATAAATTACAAAAACAGTTATTATGTTAGAGAATACAGTAGAACCTCTATACTCGTCATCCTCTGTATTCATAATATTTGATATTTGTCACATTTTGATAAATTTCACCCTCCATATTTGTCAGTATTTTCTGTATTCATCGTCATTCTCAACACTGGCAGTGGCACTACAATCGCATGCCCACACTAATCAGCTAACCGTGTTAGCTTAGTGTTGCCAATTTAGCTAATTTTTTGCTAGATTTAGTGGATTTATGAACAATCTAGCTATGCAAATTACCTAAATTATAATGGCCTAGCTACTTTTATAATGCTATCTACATATAAAAAAATTCAAACAATTTTAATGAAAACAATATGATTTGAATACTTTTATTAAAATGTCTAGCTATAAATTGAATTTTGAGTTGGCAACACTGTCAGCTAGCTGTAGTTAATTACGTAATATCTGCTTTGTGCAGTTGTGTATATTCTTGGTTTCTCACGTTGATTATTTTCAAAAACTCAAGTTCCAATGGCTCCAACAAAGTGCACTGAAGAAAAACAGCAAAATAAGAAAGCTGTTAGAACAATAGAGATTAAAAAAAATTATTGCTAAGTCTGAAAATAGACAAAGTAGAGAGGTTGCAGCCAAATATTTCACCTCTAAAATGTGAACATTGAGCGCCGCCATCTTGTAAGCCTAGAAGTTTGATAATGGCATTTGGAATGTCGAGCATTATTCCAACGATGTTCCAAATACCATTGTCAGCGTGAACGTTGAGTGGGTGGTGCTCAACGATCAACGTTCACGTTTTAGAGATGAAAACTCTAAAACGTGGCCGCAACCTCTCTAGTGTTTCCAACTTAGCCAAAGAATTTAACATGCCAAGATCATAATTGGAATTACCTAATGTTTTAATTGATGGTATATCTTCTTCTAAACAATAATAACCTTACACTTCTTCCTCTTCTACCACTATACTGTATTTATTTAGTACAATAAAGATAAAGTTTTACAAACAACAAAATTTTTATTTTTATGTGATAAAAATTGTTTCTATATTCATCATTTTCCATATTCGTTAAATCCCTAGGAACAGATTAATGACGAATATAGAGGTTCCGTTGTACTAGTAGCTTGAGTAGGATTTTGGGAACAAATTATAGTTTGATCAATTAAATAATAAACATTAGACTTGGAGACAGAAAATATACTACAATATACTATTGCTGTAAAACAGTTTATATGTTTTCCAATTTCATCAGTTATTATTGTTACAAAGAAAAAATTATCTTTTAATTTATAAAACTTGTCTATTATATTTGCACAGACACCTTTGTAAGTTAATAGTAGAAAATATTATCTGCAAAAGTAACCACAACCGTATAAATGGAAGTATTATTTTTAAAGATTAATATCAGTGACAACAAAAGTAAGTTGCTATTTTCCATAAAATCTGTAATACCAAAAATTTGTTTTGGTATCAAAACTCAATATTTGTTCAGTTAGGAATTATATGTTAAAATTATATGAAATTAATTAAAATATAACATGGAATTAATACTTGGAGAAACTTGTAGCGTTATAAAATTTTGTCTAATAAATTATCTCTAGAATTTCAGACATTTATTCTGATGTTCTCCATATATTTTATTGCAATAAAAATCTGCAAAGTTTCTGGAGACCCATATAACTTCTGATTACTTTGGTTACCATAATAGTTTTTTTTCTTTTATCTAAAAAAATATGATGACAATAACAATACAGAATACTGTATGTTTAATACTTTAAAATGTTGTTGTTTAATATAAAAAAATATTTGCAATTTGCAAAATAAGTTGATAGCAATAAACATATTTTGATTCTATTTAACATGCTGTAATATGTTAATTTATAACAAATTTAATTGTAATATAAATTTACATCCTTAATTTAAATATCATATATAAATACATTAAATAATTATTCCAAAATTTTCAGAATGTTATACAATATTCTCCATTATAATCGTTTCTTTCCCTCTTAAAATCATTATATAATTCAGAAAAACTTTTGAAGTAAAAGAAAAGTTTTGTTTTTCTGCAAATTTTTAGATTCTTTTGAAATTTTAAAATTAAAATTACCTTTAGTTTTCTTAATTTTGATTTATTATCATAGCACCAATTTAAACATTTTGATGTGTCTTTGTCAGCCAATGATTCTTCTACTTCTTTTGATACTAAAAACAATTCAATGTTGGTCAAATCCTATATTAGAAAAAAATTAAAAATTCAATGATTAATGATAAAAATTTTAAATGTTATAATTTTTTGTTTGTTGATTTGTAAGATTATGTATTAATAAAAACATCAAAACAATTATAAGGAAAATTTTATTCTCTTGAAAACAGTCTCGAACATAAAATTATTAAATTATCTAAGAAAATAAAGGATAACACTTATGATAAAAATGTAAGTATTTATATATAACATCAAAAAATTTCAATTATTTGTGTTATATTAAAAATATTCTATCAAAATTCTATAAAACAGATTTAAATTTATGGCCTTTCTAAGTTTCGTTTTTTCAGTAATACTAAAAAGTGTTATTAAAAAAAAAATAATAATAATAATAAAGATATTTACCTCAATGTTGGAATGCTTGGCTAATTTCAGAGCAGTATTATAATATCCTGATCGCAGAAAATGCTCAACTAACATTCTATCTAAGCGTTTTTTCTTCCATTGAGCAATAGCATTATCATTAGTAGTAGAATGTTCTTTCAAGTGATCAAGTCTACGTTTACAAACATGTGCAGCCTGTAATTCTTCATTAATACTTTCTTCTGCCTAGGAATAAAAAAATTATAATTAACTTCTTATTTTACAAAAAAATAATTTTTGTAATTAATAAATTATTAAATCTTCAATCCCTGATGCTATTTACTATGCTATCCTATATCCTATTGTCCCAGAGTTTTTTTTTTTTTTTGCATTTTTCATAAAGTTACTGTAAGAGATGATTAATTGTTTAGTACTGTGCAATAATAGTAATAACTGTTATAAAGGATAGATTGTACATAATTGTAAAATAAACATTTGTTTTGGTTTTTATACATTGCATGTGTAAATTCAGAAGAATCTAAAGATTCTTTAGAACAAAAAAATGAACAAAAGTCATAAAGAACTTCAACTCTAACTGACTAATAACATGTATTTTTTAGATTTTTATGTTATATGTGGTACGATCCAAAAGTTCAGGGACTGCAGTAATGTATGACAACAAAAGCATGTATTTGAAGTTACAGCGTATGAAATTGATTCTATCAAACCTTTCCTACGTGTTCAGGTTGATTTCGCCCATGCCACATGATTAAACCACAAGCGCTGTTGTTTTCTTTCAGAGATAGTTACCTTTGTTTTGTGACATAATAAAAACGGAGTTTCAAGAACAGCACTGCAACATTAAATTTTGTCAGAGTTTAGGTAAAACACCTACGGAGACTTTAAAATTGCTAAGAATGGTATACGGTGATTTTACCATGGCAAAATCAAAGGTGTACAAATGGCATTGGCGTTTTAAAGAGAGCCGAGAATCCATTGCAGACGATGAACGCTCTTGCCAACCTTCGACTTCACGGAACGAGGAAAATGTTGAGTTGGTCTCTCAATATGTTTTCAAAGATCGTCGCCAAACCCTTGAAAAAAATCGCTGTGGTTACTCACTTATCAAAGACTAGTTGCCAGCATATTTTAATGGAAGATCTTAACATGCACCGAGCAAAGGAAAAGTCATGATGGAGGTGTTTTTTGATTCTCAAGGAATTGTTCATTCAGAATTTATTCCTGAAGGCAGAACAGTAAACAAGGAGCATTATCTAGACATTTTATGTTATTTGAGGGAATCCATTCGTTGTAAATGGCCACAGATCTGGCAAAGTGGAGACTGGTACCTTTTGCATGAGAATGCACCTGCACATCGGTCCCAAATGGTCACACAGTTTCTCACCAAAACTCAAATTAATGTGCTTCCACATCCTGCCTATTCACTGGACTTAGCTCCGTGTGATTTTTATTTGTTTCCATCAATGAAAAAGCATTTTTAGGGATGCCGTTTTGTCATCAGATGAGTTGAGAGCAGCATTGCAGGAGGCCTTACGGGAGGTTTCAGAAAATGGCTTCCAGCAGTGCTTCCAGAAGTTATACGAGCACTGGCAAAAGTGTATTGTTGCCCAAGGTGATTACTTTAAAGGTGGTTATGCATTGACAATATAAACTTTTTAAGGTAAGGAATTTTAAGTCCCCGAACTTTTGGATCGTACTACGTATATATATATCAATAGTATAAGTACAAAGAGCATTTATTGTTACAATTTTTTTAAATGTAATTCAAGTAACCATTTCATAAAATTATATTCCAATCTCTTTATTAGAATCTTTAATCTATTAATCTCATAAAAATGACATGGATAAGAAAAATTTAATGTTTAGTCATAATAAACTTAATAATAATCAGTTTAAAATTTATAAATTGTATACATACATAATAAACATACAAAATTACCTTTCTTTTCAGAATATTTAACTTTTCGACAACACCTCCTAAGATTTCATTCAGTTCTCCAACTGTAGGTGATCTTTTTGCAACACCCTTTTCTATCTCTGAGACAGCTGACTGTACATGTGATGCTTCTCTATCAATATTTTTCTGTGCTGCTCTGAACTTTTTATTTAAAACTTCATATGGCACCTTTTCAAAAATTATATTTTGTTAATGCCTTAGATCATGTAAATATAATCTAAATAATTTCTACAAAAATATAAAATTGTTATAAAAAAATTCAATTGATGAAAATGATAAATATTTTAGAACAAAATAATTTTGTATACGAAGATATATGATGAAAGAGAAATCAATAAATTATTCAGTCAGGATTAATAATAATTCATGGAAAATTTGTGACTATAATGATCTTTTATCCCATTATTTTCTGAAAATATATATTTTAACATAAATTACCAAATATAAGACATACTTTTTCAGGTTTAAGCATCTCTGAAAATAGTAGAGCTGATATTTAATGTAATGTCATAATTAGCAATTTCTAGTACCATGAGTCTTATTTCTCTGTCACTAATTTCATTGCATCACTTTAATAATTTTATTAAACCAATATTCATAATAGCAAATTTTCAAGAGGTTAACTTGGCTCAATCTTGTTAATCTATTACATTGTAAGTAATTGAATGAGAATCTCAAAAAAGTTGCGCAGCACTCTTTCAAGAAATGTTGCATTTTTAATACTTTAAATGGCAATGAGGATGATTGCATAGGGGAAACTAAAAGAACTGAATCCAGTGTTGATTCAGAAGAGTTTAACATGGAGTGAAGAATTTTCCAACTTTGATACCAAGGAAGACAGAGAGATATATAACTTTATTGTGCAATGAAAAATGTTATGAAGACTAGATTTAATTCAACATAATCAGTTCTGTTGACATAAATTTGTCTTGAGCTACCTACTTTTTTAAAAAGAAAAAAAAAACAAAGTAAACAAAACTATGGGAAATCATATAGAAATTAAGATGCATTTTATATTTGAGTAAATACAATTCAATTTGTTTTTGTTGTTTTGTATGTTTTTTGCTACGTGGGGTTTGAAATTCCAATTTTGGTGTTTTTTGCACTTGAAATGCACCCCTCATCTGAAATGCGGATTCACTGTCTGGTCCAAATATAAAGGATGGATGTTTCCAGTTACATTTTTTTTCGTTTACTTGTTTTGTTCTGATATTTCCATCAAAAATATATAACCAACATTTCACTGTACTCCTTTCTGGTAATTAAAAAAAATAATAATAATTTAGTTTACAGATTTAAGTAAAAATTACACAATTTTCTACACTTTATTTTGAATTATGTGTATTTATAAAAATTTCGAAAATTATGCATTTTCATACTGTTGATTTTCTTGATTTCTGAATAATCTTAGTATAAGTTTTCAATTACTATAGAACACCAAGGATCCATAAAAATATGTATTTTATGCAAAACAGCATTCCTAATTATTAGTAAAAAAATGAAACAAGCATATGAAAAAAATTACATTCAGTTCGGGAAATAAAATTCTAGGTCAGTTGACTGGGATAAAAGAAATTTATAAAGTTTAATGGTCCTTTCAGATAATAAAAAAATATTTAAATATTACAAAATAATTTAAATCATGTATTAAGGGAACATTAAAATCATCAAGATTTTTCTTAAAGAAAAATAAGAATAAAATCAAATGTTTTAGATTTATAAAACTAAATTATATTAATCATGATATTTCAATGAACTGAACACATTTACAAAACATTTATTTACCTTTAAAGTAGGATGTTCTAAAGCCTTTATATCAGCCATCTGTACTTCAACTTCTGAATGATTTAGTATCTCTATTTCCCTCATTTAATACTTTATCAGTTAAACATTCATTTTTATAGCTATAAAAAAATTTAATTTTCTTAACATACTATTAAAATTAATTAATACACTAACTTAAAGTAACAATATCTATTTTATCAATATTTTCTTTTTGTTTCATGTCAATCATTATTTCTACAAATTTTCTTTTCTTATCACTCTCTTGCTCTTTTTCATATTCAATTTATCTCCTCTTACTTTTCTTTTCTCCCTGAATCAATGTTTTTTCTTATGTTTTTCAGTTTCTTCCATACCTTTTCTGTGTTTCCTCAATATAAGGTATCATTCATATTCCCAAAAACAATTTCTTGATCTTTTTCACAATTAAATTTTTCAAACATTGATAAACATGTTAGTGAGAATCCTAATTTTTTAATTCTTCAGCCTCTCTAAACAAAAACCTTCTTTGTTTAATTGTATTCATGGTTTAACATGGTTTCATATGTTTGTTTCACAAGAATCTTTCTTCAGTCTGCTGTAAAAAAACACTATAAATAACAAAATGAATATAACCATAATCATTCTATAATAAAGAGAGGCAGCTTCTCCAAGGAAAAGTTAAGTTTCTTAAAACAGAATTTGCATAAGAGTTTGGAGATAATGTTTGCAAATGTCAAAAAAATCCATGACATGGAAGTTTTAAAAATTGTTTTCACAAAATGCTAAACTTTAAAAAATACATGAGAGGAAAACTAAGATGAGCATCAGATCAATCTAAACAGAAAGATTAATCCAGGCAAACAAAAAAAAAGGAAAGAAATAAAAAAATTTAAATAAAGATATATGATAAATAAGAGTATATCCTGTGGAAAGTATTATCATCATATATCAACATGCTACAATAATAATTATTAAACTTACTCAATGTAAAAATCAAATTTCCAGCATCTAGTGCATTTAAATTTAAATGTTCTTTTAACCATTTTGTTCCAAACATCTGATATCAATAATGTGTGAATTATTAAAAGTATTTATAATTATAACAGTATGCAATCTTTGAGTAAGTTGAAATCCTATAAAAGTAAATGTTGAGGAAAGATTTATGGACCAATTTAGATTTTAATAATGTAAATAGTCCTAAGAAAAAGTTTAATAAATTTTAAGTTTTATGACTTATTAAATAATGATATTAAATTTTTATAAGCTAAGTACTTAATTACTTAAAGATTTTTATAAGTTAAGATTAAATTAGCATAAATATTGACTAAGACTATAAAATATACATTTTTTTGCCTAATTTATAAAAGAAAGTTTAAATTTGTTATAAAACAAAAACAATAGCATATGGTATTATAAATGAAATATAAATATGCTCTTATTTTATGTAAGAAATTTATTACATTTAATCAATTATCTAAAACAAAAAAAAATAATTAGCATCAATTTCACTGTAATTACACAAACAATAATCTTAAAAATATTATGATTTCAATTGAATAATAAAACAGAAGAAGAAGAAAAATCTTTAATACTAATACATAACTCCACAAGTACATTTAAACTAAAATCAACTTTCCTAAAGGAGCCCAAAATTCAAAATACTTTTGGACATAACATCCCATCCTCAGTAATTTAAACTTGCATTTATTCCATATTTAAAAAAAAAAAAAAAAACATTCTGTTGCTACAATAACAAATTCAAATGCAAGATGTTCCAAATAGACAGTTCAAAAACCAGATGTTCCATATATATATTTACAAATACCTTTTCAAGTAACTCTTTCATTTTATATTTCCTTTCCATTTTATGCAAATTTCAGAATTACTTGAATAAATACTCTTACTATCAATACTCTCGAGTTATAAATCTTATAAATTTAAAATTTTTGTACTTTTTTCCTTGCTTTCTTCAATGTATCTTCTCATATTTTCATTAACTCTTTTGCATTCATTGATATTCACAATGTTTTAGCATTTGCCAACTATATCAATAAAATATATAAATAACTGGTAGTTCTCAGGCTTGCTAATTCTCTATTGATAATTCTTTTCCTTTCTACATCATTTTGCATATTACTATACATTCCTTGTGAAAAACTTGACATCTCTAGTTAGATGCATTCTTCCTATGTTCTCATATATTTGTTTCTAAATTTCTGTAAATTGAGATTATATAATAGCTTCATTTCTTTATCAATGCACTTAATCCTATTACATAGACTCCAGAATATAATTAAATTAATAATAATTAAAATAAAATATATTCCGTGTGACCTAAAATATAATTTTATCAAACTTAAATTCAGTAATACTATTATTCAATTTTACAGATATATATTTTTTTTTACATTAGTATTCATTTCCCACAAATTTTATTCACAGCCACATTTGTGAAGACTGCTAACAAACTGTAAGAATATCTGTTATATGTATATTTTTAACTTGACACATTATAAGTTTGTTTCATAATGCACTTTTATAACTACTGTTAGACCATTTTATGGTGATATTCCCAAATACTTGGGAAATTGTCCAATTTATTATAGTCTTTACAATGCCTATTCTTACATTTACTGTTCCTTTTAAATAAATGATAATGCTATATTTATAAACTTTTGCTTTGATAGAATATATTTTAAAAGTTTAATAATAATTTATTGATAAAATTTTTTAAAATTCCTGCTAAGATTTAATATGTCCGATTACTTCCAGTTAAGATGTAATATCATGTCTAAATTTATATATTCAATCAATTCTTCAATGATCATTTCATTTAAAACAAAAACAAAAAGCAAACTGTATAATTAACACCAATTTTATTATAATTGTGTGTGTAATTATAGTGAAATTGATGTTATTAATACAGTTTGCATTCTGTTTTTGTTTTAAATAATCATCATTTAAGAATTGATTGAATATAATAAATTTCTAATATGACATAAAATTAACATATAAATTGTTGTATAATTATAATGAAATTTTAATTAACCACCATAAAAATATTTGATTTCAATTGAATTATCAAATAACTGAGGAAAAAACATGTGCACATGCTGTACTTTTACATCATTTTTTAGAAAAACAATTTGGTTTATTCATTAATTATGAAACTATTTTATTTTTTATTTTGGACTGTTAGAATTATATTTATTTACTGATATATTTAGTTAGTTTTCAAATAACAATGAATTTAAATCATCATTTAATGTAATAAAAGATAAAATTATAAAAGAAAATATATGAAAATATATGAATTACTTTCTTATATCTAACATTAATTTTCATTACTATAATAAATTTAATGCTAAATATTAAAGAGAATTTAAAAATAAAAATAAATTTCAACAGAAAGTCAAAAAATTACAAGGAAAAAAAAATTCATAAATTCAATAAAACATTTAATTAATTGAAAATATATAAAAATTTATAATTGTTTTAAGAATGAAATGCAATAACTAAAAGAATTGAGGGCTTGGTAGAAAAATGGCATGTCACATAAGGAAGTTTGAAAAACTGCAGGTTTTATGTTTAAATTCACTAACACTTTAATATACAATGTTTTATTAATAAGGATATACTATACAACCTTTAAGACATGCAACTGAATAACGAAAGTTTATTAGAAAAAAGTTTCTTGACGCACAAATCCAAATATGTTAACTTATATTTTACATTTTGTGGAATATGCCATTTTCCCACCAAGTCTCTCAATTATAGTAACAAAATAATAATAATATAGATTTACTAATAATTGATTTTCAGATTTTATTAATTAAATACTTATAAAACTTTTTAAGTTTTGATTCTCATCAATATTTTTAAATCATTCGCGACTGCATACTGTATTATCAAAACACTTACTAAAACACCTTTTCTTGCAGCCAAAGTTTATAAGAAAAACTTTCTAACGTTTTCGGTCTTGTTAAAAGACCTTTCTCAAGTAAACTAAATTAACAAGACCAAAAACATTAGAAAGTTTTTCTTATAAACTTTGGCTGCAAGAAAAGGTGTTTTAGTAAGTGTTCATCAATATTTTTACTCTGTATTTAGGAAACATCAAAACAAATGCTATTTCCTTTTGAAATTTATTATGAATTATTGAAAAAATGTAAATACAGTGAAACCTCCATTAACCGATCCTCCTAAATAACAGACACCTCTATTTAATGGACATTTTTACAATCTCCAAACTCTTTAAATAGGACATCTATAATATTTACCTCTAAATAGCAAACACTCTAAATAATGGATGCTGTTGTCTATAACCTACCTTACGAAAACACAAAATCCTGCCTTCAATATTCCAAAAGAATTAATTATGTATGAAATATTTTAAAACTAAAACAAAGAATCAGTTCAAATACTCTTTCAGACAACAAATTTTGAACATAGGCTTCGAAAGAGTGGCTTAAAATAGGAATAGGGAAGGAGGGAAGACTGTAAAAAGCCAAACAATATCCTTTATCTGTTAGAGAAGACTAGTCTGGTTAAGTTGTCAATCACAATTTATTGTTATACATGTTTATGTTATTAAACTTCTGTCATATTGTTAGAATTAAACTTATGATACTAAAAAAACCATAAACTTTGGACAAGAACTGAAGTACAGTAGTAATGAAAAAGAAAGTTTTAACAGCATTTATTTGGTGAAAGTTCAAAGATTGTGTTACAAAGGCAATTTGTTGACCACTTTAAAGTGTAGCAAGATATTCAGTTCTCTCACATTTATGATATAATTTATTTATCAGCTTTGTGGTGGCTAAAGTGTAATTTTAAATAAATCAGTTATTGAAGAAGACAAAATTATTTGAAAAATTATAAAGTATTCAAATCACTATATTGACTTTTATTAGTCACTCAGATCATATATGACGCTATAAATGCAAGAATACCCAATACATTTCTTACCTCTTGAAGTGGATAGCAAATCACCTTTATAACTTGACATTGGCCTGAACCAACCTTCGTCCACCCTTCTTTTCATAATAACAATTTCATTTTTCTTTTTTGTTAGCTACTTCCACTCAGGTAATTTTTAATGAATTAATAATTAATCACTGTTTATGTCTTGTCATAATTT